TTCATTGCTTGATTTCCTTTCTTCCCTTCCCTCCCTCCCTCCCTCCCTCCCCGCTTCCTCCCTTTCTTCCTTCCTTCATCCCTTCCTTCCTCCCTACCATCCTTATTCCCTTCCTTCCTGCCTTCCTCCCCCCCCAAAAAAAATAAATAAAAAATAAAAAAAATATTTGTAGTTGATCTTTTTAAGAAAATGTTTTAATTACAGTTGAAGCATCCTTCTCCTATGCCATTTATTTTTTCTCTCCCCTGAAGCAAGCATACCCAAGAAGTTGGTGTAGATTCTTCCTGTCATGTTTCAACACTTTTACTTCACATTTTGCTGTGAGTGTTTTAAAACTTTACATAAGAACAGCATATTGTGGATATGTTTTTACAACTTGCTTTATTTATTCTATTTTTGAGATTTATATATTCAGATAATGTAGGTCTAGTTTATTCATTTAAACTGCTGTATAGCATTCCGCTCTGTAAATAAATTATCATTTAGTCATTTCTGTACAAATTTACAGCAAGATTGAATCCACCTTTTACAAACAGTTCTGTTTGTCTCCCTAACCTATAAGAAGAAATGGTAGCACATTGCTGCCAGTTGTTCTCCAAAGTGTTTGTGCTTATTTATGTTGTTGTCAGAAACATCCTAGACTTCTCTTTTCTCCATAATCTCATGGATCTCCTACTACAAAAAAATTGTTTTAACTTCCCAAAGTTCTGGGATTGCAGACATGAGCCACCGCCAATAACAATGAGTATTTTCATTTTCAGTGTTTTACAGTTAACATTGTATTTTAGTTTTTTTTTTTAAGTTTAATTATAAAACTTACAACATGGAAAAACTGTGTGTCCCCCCCTCTTTTTCCTTTGAGACGGAGTCTCGCTCTGTCACCCAGGCTGGAGTGCAGTGGTACGATCTTGGATCACTGCAACCTCTGCCCCACGGATTCAATCAGTTTTCCTGTCTCAGCTTCTGAAGTAGCTGAGACTGCAGGTGCCCACCACCATGCTGGCTAATTTTTTTTATTTTTAGTAGAGATGAGGTTTCACCATATTGGTCAGGCTGGTCTCAAACTCCTAACCTCAGGTGATCTGCCCTCCTCAGCTTCCCAAAGTGCTGGGATTACAGGTGTGAGCCACCTTGCCTGGGCCTCCCACTACAAATTTGATGTTATAGTTTGTACTGAACAACAAACAACACATTGAACTACTAAAGAATGAATTAGGGTTGAAAGTAGTTATTTCTGGATATCAGAAAATGGGGATAGGAATGCCCTTTCAGAAGTTACTGTTTTCATTAGCTTTGTATAACTATGACCATTTAAAGTATTTACATCAAAGAAATAATAAGCAGAGTAAACAGACAACCAATAGAATCGGAGAAAATATTTGCAAACTATACATCTAGTTTGCAAAGGACTAGTATTGAGAATCTAGAAGGAACTCAAATCAGCAAGAAAGAAACAATCCCATCAAACAGTGGGCAAAGGACATGGCAGACATTTCTCAAAAGAAGATAATCAAATGGCCAAGAATATGAAAAAATGTTCAACATCATGAATCATCAGGGAAATGCAAATTAAAACCACAAAGAAATACCACCTTACTCCTGCAAGAATGTTCATTATTAAAAAGTCAAAAAACAATAGATGTTGGCTTGGATGTGGGGAGTACAACCTGTATGGAGATTCCTTAAAAAGCTAAAAGTAGATCTACTATTTCATCCAGCAATTATACTACTGGATGTCTATCCAAAGGAAAAGATGTCTTTATAAAAACAAAAACAAAAAAACCCAAACATTTGCTTATGTATGTTTATAGCAGTACAGTTTACAATTGCAAAGATGTGGAACCAACATAAGTGCCCATCCACCAGAGTGAATAAAGAAAATGGGGTACCTATACACCGTGGGATACTACTCAGCCATTAAAAGGAACAAAATAATGTCGTTTGCAGCAACTTGGATGGAGCTGGAGGCCATTATTCTAAGTGAATTAACACAGGAATGGAAAATAAAAAACTGTTATGTCTTCACTTATTAGTGAGAGCTAAGCTATGAGTACACAAAGACATAGAACAAGCTTGTCGAACCCATGGTTCGTGGGCTGCATGCAGCCCAGCACAGCTTTGAATGCCACCCAACACAAATTTGTAAACTTTCTTAAAACGTTGAGATTTTTTTGCGATTTCTTTTTAAGCTCATCAACTATCATTGGTGTTAATGTATTTTGTATTAACCCAAGACAATTCTTCTTCCAAGGCCCAAAGAAGCCAAAAATATTGGACATCCCTGGCATACAGAGTAACATAATAGACTTCAGAGACTCAGAAAGGGGAGGGTAGGGATAAAACACTACATGTTAGGTGCAGTCTACTCAGGTGATGGGTATCTTAGGATCTCAGAATTCACCAGTATACAATTCATCCATGAAACAAAAAACTACTTTTACCCACAAGCTATTGAAATAAAAATTCAAAAGTAAATATTCAAAGCTAAAAAAAAGATGCCTTTATTAACTTCATGAAAATGAAAATGAAGTTTTAAAGAATATGCAAGCCCCCTGCAGTGATCTATAGAAGCCTTTCCACCATCCTTCCTGGTTCACTGGATGTGGCCACATTGGTCCTCTTTCTGTTTTCAGAAGCTGAGGGCCTTTGCATTTGCTTTTCATCTGTCTGCAATGTTTTCGTCTCAGTTATATATGTGACTTGTTTATGTACTTCCTTCAGAGCTCTGCTCAAATGTCACCTTCTTGGTGAATTTCTGTCACCTCTCAGTATTCTTTACTTTTCAGCATGACAATATCACCTGGCATTGTATTGTTTCTCTCTCTGATGAGACCTTGTCATCTTTGCATCTGCATTATATACACCTCAAAAAGAGCCTTGACTACATACAGTAGGGGATCAATAAATATGTATTAAATGAACTAATAGGACAAAGATACACAAATACATAAACATTCTCTGAAGAGGAAATACAAGTGGGTAACAATTGTCTCGAAAATTAGGGAAATGCAAATTAAGGCAATGAAATAGTATTTTTTAATCAAATTTGCAAGAAATAAAAACAAATAATGATATTATTGGAAAGGGTGGAAAAGTAAATTGGTATGGTCTTTTGCAAGGCAGTTGTTTTTCTATGTTTGTTTGTTTTTGAGACGGTCTTGCTCTGTCTCCCAGGCTGGAGTGCAGTGGTAGGAACATGGCTCACTGCAGCCTCGACCTCTTGGGCTCAAGCAAGGGATTCCCTTGGGGCTCCCACCTCAGTCCCCCGAGTAGCTGCAACTGCAGGTGGGAGCCACCATACCCGGCTAATTTTTATATTTTTTATAGAGATGGGGTTTCTCCATGTTGCCAAGGCTGGTCTTGAACTTCTGGTCTCAAGTGATCTGCCTGCCTCAGCCTCCCAAACTGCGGGGACTTCATGAGTGAGCCACCACCCCCAACCTTGGAAGGCAATTTAATTTGCAAGTACTCACACATGGACATAGACAGGCATGTGCAAGGGTACTGCTGCAGCCCTGTTGCAAAAGTGAAAAATCAGAAGCAGCCTCCGTGTCTACTGATGGTGGCATTGTTGAATTACAGAACACATGTATGCTTTAATACTAGGCAGCAGGTTTTTAAGAATGAGGGACAGTTAATATGCTCTATATTGTGGTGCCATTTGTGTTTCACAAAACACAAGACTAAATTTCTATATTTATAATTACATATCAAAATACCTAGAAAAACATTGAGTAGCCTCTACCCAGAACTTTAATTTTATTTATCATTCACTGGACATGGATTTGTTGAGCATGTGCTGTGTGAGAAGAGTTATCCAAATGCTAGGAATAGAGTGGTAGGTAAAGTAGGAGAAGCCGCCTGCCATCCTAAAGCTTCTGCCTTCATAGGAGGAAGTGAACCATGAGTGCTACCAGGGAATACTATATAGGTCAGGTGGTGAAAGATACCAGGAAGAGAGGTAAAGCATGGGTAGGAGGGCACTTGAAGCTCCAGTGTCCAGTGGCAATTTCTGCACATTCTGTAAATGTGCGCTGTCTGGTACTATAGCCACCAGCCACCTATACCTGTTGAGTACTTGAAATGTGACTAGTGCAGCTGAGGAGCTGAATTTTAAATTTTATTTCATTTTAATTCATTTACATTTAAATTGCCACACGTGACAGTATAATGACATGGGATGATCAGAGAAGCCTACCTCACTTAACAAAGGGACATTTGAGCTGCAACCAAGGAGCAAGTCATGTATTTCAGGCAGAGTGAACAGCAGACCTTATTTGGGGCAGTCAGAGGCAGAAAAGACAAAGGTAAGAGTGGAAGGAGATGAAGCCAGTAAAACAGGTGGGGACCCACTATGGAAGGCCTTACTGGCTAGTGAAAGACATTGCTTATTCTCTACGTAAGGCAGGAAGCCATTGCAAAGCTTTGAGCAGACAGGTTTTGTGATCTGAATTGTTAAAGGGGTGCTAGAACTGTTCTGATGATAAACCATAGGAGTGAGTGCAGAGGCAAGAAGTCCAGAGGCTACTCCACCACCCAGGCTGGAGGTAGTGGTAGATTGCTCTCCACACTTAGGAGGGCGGTGATGGAGGTGTTCCAAAGAGGTCAGGTGTATCGTTAGTATTCACTGATAGATCAGATGAGAGGCCTGAGAGAAAGGGAGGAATCAGGATTTGGGCCAGAGCAAACGAGACAGCACTGGGGAAAGGGAACACTGGGAGGAGAATTCAGGAGTTGTGCTTTGGACATATTAAGTGCCTGTGGATATAAAGAACAAAGTCCTGGCCATGAGTGACACCGAAACAACAATGGCAGTTAACGGATTTCTTCCTAAAGAACTGGATAAAAGAGAAGTGTTCATTGATGGTGTTAGAGTCATTCTCTTTGTTTAGAGGCAAAACAGGTGATGTGTTGTTGACCTTTTTCGCATGAAGGTTTTATATGTCCTCAATTATGTGTGGTTCTTAGATTTGGGTGATTATTTCTTATTTTTTCCTTAGAATGGCTCCCGAACGAGTGGCATCCCTGTCACGAGTTTGTGTCCCACTTATTACCCTGCCAGATGTCGACCCCCTGGTGGAGGCTTTGCTCATCTGTCATGGACATGAACCTCAGGAAATCCTCCAGCAAGAGTTCTTTGAGGCTGTAAACGAGGCCATTTTGCTGTAAGTGGTATTCACGTCTCCTGTCATACTGTGTCATTTTTCCTTTTCTTAGAAGGCTGTGGTGTGTTGGAAAGACTACGTGACAGCAGTTTCCAAACGTTTTTGTCTCAGTACCCCATGTAACTCTTAAAAATTACTGGAGATCTCAAAGAGTTTTTTTTTTTAACTTTATTTTAGGATTGGGGATATATGTGAAGGTTTGTTACATAGTAAACACATGTCATGGGGGTTCGTTGTACATATTATTTCATCACCCAGGTATTAAGCCTAGTTCCCAATAGTTACCTTTTTTGCTCCTCTCTCTCCTCCTACCCCTTCTCAGGTAGACCCAGCGTCTATTGTTTCCTTCTTTGTGTTCATACATTCCCAAGAGTTTTAAAAAAAATCTTGCCATATTTGAAACTAAAACAAATTTTTAAAAATTTATTTCTTCATTTAAAAAATAAAAATAATTTGATTACATGTTAACACAAATAGTGTATTTTTATGAAAAAAATGCTCTTTTCAAAGCAAAAAAGAAACAGTTTGACAAGAGCAGCATTGGTTTTACATTTTGCAAGTCTCATTTTCTGCCCTAAGACTGCTGGATTCTCATATCTGCTTCTGGTGGGATGTGTTATTTCGGTTGAAGTGTATGAAGAAAATCCAGCCCCACATAGTTAGTAGTTGGGAAAGGCAGGAGTATTCTAATAGCCATCACAGATCACTGTGGATAATTCTGCTTTGATAGCTCACCAAAATTTGAAAATGGTCATTTTTTAAAGGTTAGTTGCAGTATGGAATCTGAAATTATGTCAGTTTAACTTTCTATAATATATTACATTAAAACCCATTGGTCTGTCTTGCACTTGCAATGGATCTTTTTTGCCTACGTATAATTTTGTAGCATTACGCATGGTTCATGTGGAAAATCTTAGTTTATTGTATATTATGTATACATTATATGTATCTTCCAAACATTGACATATTTCATTATGCAGTATCAAAACCTACATTCATTACTGTCACCACGGATCTCATCAGAAATGACTTTAAGTATTGGGAAGCTCTGAGGCTTATGTTGGTGGACATAGATTTTCCAGGATTCTAATTTCTGCTTAAAAGCTAAAATTTATTATGGGCTGCAAACACTGTCATTTTCCTTAGTGGACTGAGTCACTTTGCTAATTATTGAGAAAGTTTGTGCCTAACCCCAAAGTGTGACTAACCACTGCTTATCTGCTAGTCATTCTTTCAAGTCAGTTTTCATGACAAAAAGTGGTCAGGTGAGACCCAGCTGAAAGAGTTGTGCAGGTATACAAGTGGAGTGCTTTTCTCCAGACAACCATCGTTTTTTGTTATGAAGCAGAAGTGCTTTGGGAGCCGTGGTGGCTCCAGCCAGTTGTTCTGGTGCTTAAGGAGGTGAGGCTATGAGTTCAAGGCCAACCTGAGCAACATAAGAAGTTCTCATTTATTAAAAAAAAAAAAAAAAAAGAAGTGCTTTATGCACACTTTCCTTTTCACCATATGGAATTCTTCTCTAAAAGTATCCTTGAGGGCAACAGTTTAATAAAATCAGTATGTTATACTGCTTCATCAAGCATTTGTATGTGAAAACGTGGTGTTTCGACTGTGTGTGTGTGGCGGTGAAGACTAGCATGAGGACTGTCTCTGCTCTGATTCCTGCCGAGATGCAGCTGTGTTACCCACTGTTGCTTTTGCACTATCAGCACAAACATCAACATGGTTGTTCCAGGAAGAACCAGGAGATTCAAAATAGTGCTTCCCTACCACTTGTGTGTGTGGCCAACTTTCATATAAAAGATCTTCTCTGCTTAGTTAGAGCTGTTAGCAGACAACTACAAGCAATACAGTAAGCCCAGAGATTCTATTGTAAGGCAGAATTACAGTTCTGTTGGTGACATACTAATTTATCACATCTACATTTAAATTGTTTATTTTTTTTCTTTAGACTCTGAATGATTGATCTCAAACTGATGTGGCAATTAATTTGCACTATAATAGTATTTTAAATATTGTTGCATAAGACACAATTAAATAAATCATTAACATCTTTAAAGGCAAGGGAAAAATAGCTTTCCTCATATTTTTTGTCTTTATTTACAGTTTAGCCCACTTTCTCTGGAGCAGATGTCTTCGTCTTGTGAGTCAGAAAATTCTCTGATTTGTCAGTTTCATCTTTTCTTGATGAAACATTGGTAGGATGAAAAATTGAATCTTGATAATCCTCATTTTTAAAGCCAATGATCCATTCTTAAATACAAGAAAATATAAATAAATGTTACTTTTCAAATAAAATATTGTAAAATTCCAAAATAATAATCTTAATAATCTAAAATATATATTAGATATATAAGTAAAATATACACTATATATACATAAAATATATATCTAATAAAATTATTTAAAATAACTTAGATGAAATTTAAAAATTAGAAAAGTTTTCAGAATTAAGAAATATATATTACTGCAAAACCCAACAAAGTATACTTATTTCTTCTTATGTTTCCGTGTAGCCCCAAGAGAAACTGTAATTTTCAAAATAAGTTTTTCTTTAACACATCTCAGTTCCTCCCTTCCACCTTGGAAAGGGTCCTTTGGACCCCACTTTGAAAATTATTGCATGACCTTATGACTACTGCTGTTGTTATGACTCCAAGTTAGGAGTTGCTCTGTTAGCAGTGTTTTAAAACACTGTAAATCTACTATGGTGGTATAATTTGCAGAGTCCTCTCAGTCTCAGATAATTAGATTCAAAGTGTTCACATTTCTGAATTCAAGGTATACATGCAATGTGATTTTAAAATGATACTGCTTATGAACCTCACATCATTTTGTTAAGAATACTATGGTTTTTAAATTATTTTGTTAATACTATGTATGTTTTCAATTCTTTTTTTTGAGATAGGGTCTCACTCTGTCTCACAGGCTGGAGTGCATTGGTGCAATCTTGGCTCCCTGCAATCTCAACCTCCCAGGCTCAGGGGATCCTCCCACCTCAGCCTCCTGAGTAGCTGGGACCACAGGTGCTCACACCCGGTTAGCTTTTTATATTTTTGGTAGAGACAGAGTTTCACCATGTTGTCTAGGCTGGTCTTAAACTCCTGAGCTCAAGTAGTCTGCCTACCATGGCTTCCTAAAATGTTGGGATTATAGGTGTGAGCTGCTGTGACCGGTCACCCAATTCTTTATTTAAATACTTTTAGGAGAATTGTTACATATATAGACACTTCCTTGCTATACAGTGCATTTTAAAAAACAAAACTGCATTAACTTTATTACATGTTAAAATTGACATTAGTTTCTTATCATCACATATCTAGTCAGGAATTAAATTATCCTGATTGTCTTACAATTTTCTTCCAATCGGTTTGTTAGAATCAGAGTTCAAATCTATACATTGCCTTTGGTTTATAGGTTCTTTTAATTCTCTTTCAATCCCTCTTTGGTTTTTGTTTTGAAACTAGTTGTTGAAATAATACAGTTGCTTTCCCCACTCTCTGGTAGAGCATGTCCGCCCTCTTGAGTGTGATAAAGGGTGTGCGCCTCAGGAATGCAGTCCTGTGGGCTTAGGTGGCTTCTTTGGTCACATTCTTAGTTCTCATGTAGTCAGGCCTGTTTTGTTACCTTCTGTTCTGGTTCTCTAGTCTCTTGCATGTGTGTATGGCAGTATCACTGCTTTAGTGGTGGCATCAACTGTGTTCAGTATAAAATAAGGCTCCTTACCTTCGATTTCTCTTTACCAGGTTTTTTTAGTTTGTTTTGCTGTCATTGCTTGTCTTATATTCCACGTAACTTTTAAAACGAATTTTTCTAGTTGCAGGGGAGACACCCAGTGTTGTCTGGGGGGAAGACTCTTACAAGTGTATAGATTAATGAGAGAGCTGGTATCTTCATGATGTTAAGGCTTTCTGTCCACCTGTTCATAACACATATGTTTTTCCATTTGTTCAGCTTTTGTGATCTGAAGGGAGTGTTGTATATATTTTTCACGCGTTGGACGTAAACATTTCTTATTCCTAATGTTTTGTTGTATTTGTGTTTTGAATGTTTTCACCGTCATAAATAGATCTTCTCCATCTTCAAATAGATTTTCATTATTTTGTTGCCTTTGGAAAATGAACAAGCTCAAAACCACTGATGTCATTACAGTTCAGTGTATTTCCATTTTTTTATCTATAACTCTTAAAAATTAGGATATATATTTTAATTTCAGTTTGTATGAAAGGTTGTAATCCAAGACTTTGCGAAAGTGAGATTTAAAAAGAGAAAAAGATGTTTCAAATCTTGATGTTTCAAAAAATGGTTAAAAAACCAAAACATCACGATGTTTCAAAAAATGGTTAAAAAACCAAAATGTCCTTTTTTCTACTTACTCTAAACCTTCTCTCAGAATTCACCCAATAAGTGGAGTGAGCTTCCTGAGGAGTCTGAGCATTATCTTTGGTTGATATTGAATAAAGGGTGCCGTGAACGTGTGGCACAGTGCTGGGATTCTTCCCTCACAGTGCCCCAACACCCGAAATGGAGCACACGCTTCACAGTCCCACCGCTGACCACGCCAGCTGGTATTTTCACTCTCTACAGTGATTTTTCAAAATATTTGCAAAGAATATTTAACTGGAATGCTCTTGCCTTTCACTGTGACAGCTCTCTTCTCGATTCATCTAGGAATATATTTCATAGGAGATTATGGTTTCAGCTACCACCATGTCCAGCCTTACTCTTTCAGCAAGAGCTGAATTGAAGGGAATCTGGAGAACATTTCTGGTCCTCTGTGAAACCCCAAAAGCTGTTTCAGAAATCGCTGGCCAGGCGACGTGCTCAGAGAACAGTTACTCCTGATCCAGCTCAGCTCTCAGAGGGACACTAAGGGCAGCGGCTCCCCAAGCAGGCCCACGCTCCCTTGCTTGTAATTTTGCTTGTGATAGCACGTTCTCCCTCAACAACTCATAAAATTTATTTAGTTTGGAAAGTTATGTCTGCTAACCCATAAGGGACAGACTGTCCAGAAGTGCTGGGTGGTCTTCAGTGTGTCCAAATCCTGTGGCTTCAGCTCAGCAAGTTCCCCAAGCAGTGGTGTAAGAGCTGGAGCCTCTCCATGGACACTTTCCCATAGATGGAACATCCCAGCCACATGTTGACACAGCGAGACTGATCCAATCAGTCAGTGCAAATTACCAGCCGCGCCCAGCACCCCCTCCCCAAATGTGCTGCATGGTCATTTGGAAACCACATGCTTTCTTTGACCAGTGCTCCCTACCCTGTGTTTAGCCTTCCAACTATTTGCTTACCACAGTACACCCATGGAATTTCATCTGTTTGACAATTGGCTGGTGTTTTTGGCCTTGGCTTCCAAATGCAGTCATATATTTTCAGCAATGGGCTGCCCGTCTTTTAAACAGCAGATGCTTGCCCCTCTTTATGGTTTAGATAACCTAGAGGAACTTTTAAATTTCTTGGCCTAAATGTCAACTTTTCATGTCTGTCCCTGGGGCTGCCGTCATAGGCACCTGCAGGCTACAGATTGCATAAAACCTTCCTGGGCGGGCTGCTGAGGTCCTTTTATAAGTCCGGAGTATAAGTAATTCAGCATGACATGTCCTCTGAGGTTATCCGAATCCACTGCTTCAAAAATACTGAGAAGCTTGAAGACTGGATGGAGAATTTTTTCCGTATGTTTGAATGAATGAAACAGTGGACAAATGAAAAAAAAAAAAAAAAAAGAATGAAGGCCTGACTGTGATCTTGTGATACAATAAGAAATTATATTTGGTATTCATCCAGGCTCCTAAAACCCTTGGAATTTCCTGAGTGATGAGGTGAGAAGAGCATCTTTTATTATTCATAAGTACCTTTCCACCACACCTGACTGTAGAATAGACTAGTGAAGTAACTCCTGGTGCCCCCCCGCCACCCGCTCCCCCGCTCCCCCGCCATAGCCTCTGGATGGGGGCTGGTAGCCAGAGGAACCAACCATATGAAAAAAGGCCTGGAACTTTGAGTACCATGCCTGACCCCCTGAGTTCGACCTGATCACTACTGGCCAGTGATTTAATCAGTCATGCTTACATTGTGAGGCCTACATAAAAACGCTAAACTGTAGGGTTATACAGCTTCCAGATTTGTGGTCACTTCCAAGTGCTGGGAAGTTGGCATGCTTGGAGAGGGCCTGGGAGCTCTGAATCTTCCCCCAGGCCTGGCCTTATGCATCTCTTCTGTGTGGCTGTTCCTGAGCCGTTATCTTTCAGAATAAACTGGTAATGGCAACTGAAGTGTCTTCCTGAGTTCTGTGAGCTATTCTAGCAAATTATCAAACCTGAGGAGAGGATCATTGGAACCTCTGATTTTATAGCTAGTTGGTCAGAAGAATGAGAGGCCTGGATTGTGATTGGCATCTGAAGCAGGGGCAGTTTTGTGGGACTGAGCCCTTAACCTGTGGGGTTTGTGCTAACTCCAGGTGGTGTCAGAATTGAATCATTGGACACCCAGTTAGTGTGTAGAGTTGGGAGTATTGGTTGGTGTGGAGGAGAAAATCCAAGACTCACAGTGAGTGTGAGAAGTACTCTGTGAGTAAAGATAGCTCCTAGTAGTGGGAATGACTGACATTCTAGTAACTGACTGACCACGCTAACACAGCTCAGGGGTGGCTCTGAGTGTTAAATAGAGTAGCCATATGATTTAAAATCTAGACCATGCTACTTTTGAGAATTAAAAGAGATCCCTTTTATAAGTATGGTGGGATAACAGAAGTAAACTTGCAAACTAGGACAAATGCTCACGCTAAGATTTAAATGAGTTGAATGCCTATAATAGTCTTAGCACAGTGCCTGGTACCCACTGTAAATACTCTGTAACCATTAGTGTCTACACCAAACCACCCTTAATGTGCCCAGTCTCGCCTGATCTCGGAAGCTGAGGGGCATTGGGCCTGGGGAGCAGCAGGTTCTGTGGGCTTTAAAAAAGAAAAAAAGAAGAAAACCAGGCACACTGGCACATACCTGTAATCCCAGCTACTCAGGAGGCTGAAGCAGGAGAAGTACTTAAGGCCAGGAGTTCAAGTCCAGCTTGGGCAATGTAGCAAGACCCTGTCTCTCAAAAATAAAAGTAAAAATAACTGTTAGCATATTACTGTTACCATTATTGACTCTAGTAATTTATTATTTTTGACAATGTATAGTATTAGGTTTTCTCAAACTCACATTTTTGTCCCTAACAAAAGAATCACTAAACTAAAACCAGATGTAAGCTTAATTCCCATTGCTGGAAGAGCTAATATGGCTTCCAACAATGCTTAATAAGAAAACAATTAATTATCCTATGAGAAGAACCTAATTTATGCTTCTTGACTAATTTATTTATTAGTAGTTTACTCATCTGGTGTGCTCTTGCATATCAGATTACCCCCAAAACAGGAGTCTAACTAGAATTACTCTGGGGAGCCACAGATTCTTTTGAATACCCTCAGTATCGCTCTAGCCATGTTACAAATCAGGAAAATAGGACCTCTGAAAATGAAACCGCAAATTACAATAAAGGGCTGACCTACAATCAAGCTGTTGGGTTTGTGCTTTTTTTCAACTTACATAAGAAAAATCAGGATTTAAATATTGTCAAATCATATAGGTGAGTGTTTAAACAAAAGAAAGATTAGCACATGGGGAGATGGCAAAGAATTAGCAGTAACCAGAACTCCATTCCTATTAATATTGTTTATTCATGATTGAAACAGAGACTGCCTCACATCCTTTTTTTTCCTTTTTGAGACAGGGTCTTACTCTGTCACCCAGGCTGGAGCAGTGGCACAATCATGGCTCACTGCAGCCTCTACCTCCCAGGCTAAGGTGATTCTTTCACCTCAACCTCCCGAGTGGCTAGGACTACAGGTATGTGCCACCATACCTGGCTAATTATTTTGTATTTTTGGTAAAGACGGGGTTTCACTATGTTGCCTAGGCTGTTCTTAAACTCTTGAACTCAAGCAGTCCACCCTCCTCAGCCTCCCAAAGTGCTGGGACTACAGGCCTGAGCCACTGTGCCCAGCCACATTCTGTTATTTATTTATTCATTGATTTAGAGACAGAGTCTTGCTCTGCTGCCCAGGTTGGAGTGCAGTGGCGCAATCTTGACTCACTGCAACCTCTGCCTGCTGGGTTCAAGTGATCCTCCTGCCTCAGCCTCCTGAGTGGTTGGGATTACAGGTGACCACCACTGTGCCTGGCTAATTTTTGTATTTTTACTAGAGACAGGGTTTCACCATGTTGGTCAGGCTGGTCTTGAACTCCTGACCCAGGCGATCCGCCCTCCTCAGCCTCCCAAAGTGCTGTGATTACAGGCATGAGCCACCATACCCAGCCCCACATCCTGTGTCTTTTTTTTAACCTTAATAATATATGGTTACAAATTTAGTCGTAGTTTACTTTTCTAATAAAAATCTGATATTGATGTATAATCACCAGACATTCTGCTGTGTTGGGTTTGGACATTTCTTCTGCTTGTTGGTGGCTGCACTTTGAGAAGTGAGCTGCTCTGCACATATAGATTATAATGATGTCAACATTGTCTGAATTGTGATGATTGCTTAGAACAGGCTATCACCTAAATACAACTTTAGGATGCGAGCAGTGTTCTTTTCACTCCCTTTGAACTAAGCAGTTCTCCAGAACAGTTAAACCCAAGTTTTGTGAGTTTCTCTGGCAGCTCAAACAGCCTTGATCTGTTTCTGGTTTGAAAAGGTAGATTGTTGCTGGTGCACCTTTGTTTTACCTAAGGAATCCCTGGCCTCCCCTCTACTCAGACAGTGTTAGAACACAACCTCCCAGATGGGCCTCCCTCATCAGGAACCTTTCTTGAGAAGAATTTAATTATGCATTCTGGTGTTTTTTTTTTAATTGTAGCTATGAAGGTATTTGGAGCCAAATTATTTAATAAGCAATTGGACCAATTTCTTTACTTGCTGCCTCTTTTTGGAAAGGATGAGAAAAAATAACTGCCTTACTAAACTGAATATCTGGGAGAAACAAAGTACAGTTTTCTAAATGTCAAGGAGGTGTCTGTCCAAAGAGTCTGTTGGACAGGGGAGAGCATCCTGTGTAGGCTTCCCTGCCTCGTGCCAGACACTGTCACTGTAAATGAGATTTCTAAGTGGAGCCCTGACTGGAAGCCTACTGCTCATTTTATTTTAAAGGAGAAAATAGTAATGCACATAAATACCAAATGCCCTACCCATTTCCTAAATACAGAAAACTCTCTCAATTATTAGGTAGGGATTTGGGAGCAAATTTGTGTCTTTGTTTTCCTTGAAGTGATGATTTTGGTCAGGTCCAGGTAGGATGGGTGGAAGCAGTATGGAGGAGAAAAAGGATGACCTTCACGCTTCTGTCGCCAACACACTCAACAGAATGAAATTTTTCAGTCCTCCTAAAAACGTGTTTTTCTTTTTTACTTGATTGGCCCTTTAAATTTTCCACAGAATATATATTCATTTTATCAGGTCTAACCATACAGCACAGGGTATATACAGAAAATGTTCATTACCTCCTCTTCTTCATCCTCCAGTAATTCTGGTAGCCGTACCTTATGCTTGTTAGACATAAAGTCCATATAAAGCCATTGTCTGCTCATTGTCAAAAGCAGCATTACACCATAGATACATCACTCCAGAACCTGCTTTTTAACCAACGTGTCTTAAATACCCCTCACAGGACATCGATTCAGCTCATTTGAAGTAGCCGGCGTTGTAGTCTGCTGTCCCCGTGGTTGCACATTGCAGTGTTTCTAGTTTTGTCCTTATATTTAAAGATTGCAATAAATATCCTCAAACTGATGTTTCTATTTCTGCCAGGCGAATTCACAGCAGTATAATGATTAAGACAGGTGTGTGTGTGTCTTGAATTTTCTTCAGTGGTGCCACATGACTGACTGGACGTGTGAAGCCACTGCCTGCCTGCCTGCCTGTGAGGAGGCACACCTGTGCCTGCCCCAGCACTGGGTGTTGTCACTCTGCTCAGCGCCAGCATGGCGAGGGTGAAACAGACTGTATTGGTGCATTTCCCTTTCTTTACTGTTAATTAGGTGGAGAAGCCACACATTTTTCCAGTTCTTTTTCTGTGATTTGCCTTTTTATTTAAAGCCAGCCCGGTTCACATGAAGAGCACTGTGTAGAATACAGATGTGTTGGCTCGGCCAAATTCTGTTAGGCAAGCATATCAAGATCATACTGCTTTGGTGATTCCTTCGTTCAGGAAGGATTACAAAGAGTTAAATCACTGATGTTTTAAAGCAAAATCTATTCAAATATTAAACACGGGTCCATAAACTTAACCACTCGCAGCAATTAGTAGGGTGTGCTCCTAATCTAGACTCTAATAAAAAGCCATTAACACACATAGTTTTCAAACTGGAATGGGAGCATCATGCTCTTACTGACTGGAGCGTGACTTGTGTGCTTGTGTGACTATGCAGTGTCTGTTCATTCCTTCCGCTGAGTGGGACGGGTCAGTTCTGCATTGGTTCATGTGAATTTGCTGCTGCTCCTGGCAGCCTGGCCTGCATGTGGCAGCAGCCTTTCTGCCATCATCTGGCAGGATGAATGACATGTACTGTGCCATGGCTTTCAGCCAGGACTTGGTGCTGGTGGAAGACCTCTCACTGCAGTGAAGCGCCTTTCTGATGACATACAGATTCATGTTACATGGATTCTGAAGAAAGATAAGGCATGAGGAAAGCTGGTCAGAGCCAGCACTGCTGCTTGAGATGGGAGGAGCCACTGAGAGGAGAGCTCTCCTCTTCAGAGCTTCCTGCCTCGTGGCATGGGTGGTCCCGGCTCCATGATGGAAGCTATGGGCACCCTTTCCACACCCGGGGTGTTCTACTTCCCCCTGATTACTGGACAGGAACCCCTCCTCAGGGCTTCTTTGTTGTGGCTAAAATTGGCTGACCTCCTGGACGGGAAAAGCATTTCCCCTTCACAAGGGGCATGAGCACAGGCACAGTGTGTGGCTCACCCAGTAAAGCTGCCTGCTGTTCCCCTGAGCCTGGTATCCTGCACCCCTCCTCGGAGCCAGCATGGTCCTGTACTCACTCCAGCCCCAGCTGCCCTGGCTTCAGGTCTTATCAGCTGCGAGTCCTGGTCCTCTCTTTTCTCGGCTGCCTCGTCTGCGCAGGAGGGAATAATTTTTACCTGTTTTGTAGGGCTGTTATGAGGATTCAGGTGTAAGCGAAACATCATCTTTCCTGGCATCACTTCCATCACCACCAGTCCCCTGAAGTCCTGTCTCCAGTCCTGGCTTCACCTCCACTCCTCTCCTCCCTCTGCCACATGCTGTCATCCAGGGCCTGCCTGGCACACCCCGGGTGCATTTGCCCTCTGCAGCGCTGCTCAGAGGCACACTTCCTGCCCAAAGCCTGTGTCTCATGCTCTGGCGGCAGCGTCCTCTGCTTCTGTGCCTCTTGCCATCTGCAGCTTCTCCTCTCTTGCCTGCTGCTCGAGCCTCCACACCCCACTCAGCTTCCTCCCTTGGGGTTCTGACTCCCAAATGTGTACCTTCAGCCCGTACCTTTCCCGGAGATTCTACCTTGGATATTCAAGGACCTAGTTAATATCTCTGCTCAGTTGTGCCTCAGACACTCCAAACCCACACACCTCAACTGAGCTGTTACTAAATCCTCCACAAATCTTTTCTTCCCTTCTTTACATCTGAGTAAGTGGCATATCAAGCATTGAGGAAGTGTGGCACCATGGCAGGGCTTTGCTGGGTGTGAGAGGTGGGAAGATGAGGAACAGGGCCTGCTGGTGGCTCCTGGACAAGTTGAAGTTCAGGGTGCGAGCGTGAGATCATGAGGTTCTGAGGTGAATGTGCCCTCCCTCCCCCTGTCTTCTGCAGGCTCCTCCGCAGTCCCCCTGGGTCTTCAGCATCTTCCCTGCTTCTTTTGCCCCGTGGTCAACCCAGAACAAGGTCTGCAGGAGCTACAGCAAGCAAGCCAAAAAAGCAAAACCTCTAGGAACTGCTCCCCATGTCCCCTACTCTGTCCCTTCCCATCCCTGGACCGGGTGCTGGGCTTCACACCAGCTCTGCAGAGAAGCGGCCTATGAGTCATGGTGAAGGGACAGGCATTGTTGTTGGGTCAGGGGAGCCTGTGCCCCCACTTCAGTTTTCCTTATTCATAGCAGCAGCACCTGTGGCAGCCAGAGAGTAGGAGGGGGTGACAGTGACTCTGCTAGAGAGCCAGGCCTTGGGACACACACACTGCTCTCTTTTCCCCACCTCAAGATTTGTGTGCATCTGGCTTCATTTCTATTTGCTTAGTTTCCTTGGGGCAAGACAAGAGATTCATGAAAAAAAGGCATCAGGTTTGAAAAGCACCCACTGGTAAGCACCCACTGTCTGAGATGTGCAGGTAAATGGCAAACTGCCCTGGGGGGCAGCTCCAATGTGTCCCAGAGCCAGCAGCAGGGGCTCAGAGTCAGACATGTACCACTCATGCTCTCTCCCAGGAGGGGAAGTGGAGCTCCAGTTCACTGACACAAGAGGACCTCAATATATTTTCCCATAGAAAAAAAAAAAGTAGCTACACAAAATGGTTGTGTCTATAGGGTACTGGTGCTCAAGCCTGTAATCTCAACATTTTGGGAGGGTGGGACAGGAAGATTGTTTGAGGCCAGGAGTTTGACACCAAACTGGGCAAAATAGCAAGACCCCATCTTTACAAGAAAAAAAAATTAGCCAGATGCGGTGGTGTGCACCTGTAGTCACAGCTACTGGAGAGACTGAGGCAGGAGGATCACAAGCCCAGGAGTTCGAGGTTACAGTGAGCTATGATCACACCACTGCACTCTAGCCTGAGTGAGAGAGCAAGACTGCATCTTTTTTTTTAAAGGTATCTTTGATTCCCAGTCCTGCCGATCTATCCAGTATCATACTTAAGGTCCAGTACATCAAGTAGGCCATGACCACAATATACAAAATTGGACTTTTTTCTTTTGAGACAAGGTCTTGCTCTTTTGCCCAGGTTGGAGTGCGGTGGTGTGAACACAGCTCACTACAGCCTCAGCTTCCTGGGCTCTATCGATCCTCCTGCCTCAGCCTCCCAAGTAGTTGGGATTACAGGTGTGCTACCACCATGCCAGGCTAATGAAAAAAATTTTTTTTTCATGGAGGTGGAGCCTCACTATTTGACCAGGCTGGTCTTGAACTCCTGGGCTCAAGTGATCCTTCCACCTCAGTCTCTCAAAGTGTTGGGATTACAGGTATGAGCCACTGCATCTGGCCTTGAAATTGTTAAAAATATTTTTAACTTTCAAGCAACTGATTACAATTACAGTTATTGAATATTTATGTGCCAAGCACTGTGCTAATCACTGTACATGTATTGTTGCATTTGATCATTACAAGAACACTGTGAAGGAGATAGGCCCATTTTACAGATGAATAAACTGAGGTTAAGTAACTTCTCCAGGGTCATACAGTTAGTAGGCAGTGGCGTTGGGACTGAAACCCAGGTCCGAGTCCCTGTTGTAAAGCGTGATGACTTACATTTGAACATGCTCACTTCTTCAGTTAGAGACTGGGCATCACAAGGCCTTTTCCATCCTGTTTTTTATCACTCTCTTTTTTTTTTTCCATCACTAGACATTTGCTTATCCTTTTTGAAAGCAATTTTTTTTCCTGAGCGTTTCTGATTTCTTAAGAGGAGCTGAAGTGGAAGCATATTCACATTATTTTGCAAATGAGTACTTGGTAAATATTCACTGATTCTGTAAATTATTAGCCACTGCTATGACCATGATGAGAGGAAGTCTCACAAATTGGATTAGTGATTGCATTTTGAACTTTCTTAATCTTCTTTTTTCAGTAATCCATTTCTATTTAAAATTTTGTTTATTTCTTTCTGAAAGGAAGAAGATTTCTCTCCCCGTGTCAGCTGTAGTCTGCCTCTGGCTTCGGCACCTTCCCAGCCTTGAAAAAACAATGCTGCATCTTTTTGAAAAGCTAATCTCCAGTGAGAGAAATTGTCTGAGAAGGATCGAATGTTTTATAAAAGATTCATTGCTGGTACGTGCTGGGCTTTGAGGAAGAGAAAAATCCTTAAAGGAGATGCTGGGAATCATTTCTTTTAGTCAAAGAATGAAAGTGGGGGGATGTAAATAAAAGAGCAATTGGAACCTTTATAAATAATCATGTATTTACATTTTATTTTTAAAATCGCTAATGTGCTGGGCTTTGATGAAGAGAAAAATCCTTAAAGGAGATGCTGGGAATCATTTCTTTTAGTCAAAGAATGAAAGTGGGGGGATGTAAATAAAAGAGCAAGTGGAACCTTTATAAATAATCATGTATTTACATTTTATTTTTAAAATCGCTAATGTAGGGGGCTTTTCTGCATCCTTGGAGCATGCAGGGAGAGACTTGAGATTTACTTGGTTGATGTGCCATATATCGCATGTTCACCAGAATTGACATTTGTACAACAGATTTTTTAAAACAGTGTTTTTTATCTCAATATGGAAAATACGTTTTTAGAAATGAAGAACTTACAGGTTAGAGGAGGAATCAATTAAACACATTCAAAAAATAAACTTTTAGCTCTTCACTAGCGGAAAGATGAAATACTCAAGAGACACAAAACCCCAGAAATATGGTTAAAGCAGCAGAACCAGCTAGGACTTCTGTACATTTTCTTTTGGTGTGAGGCCACCTGCCTTCAACCTTCCCTTCCATGGTGGCTCCTGGCTCCCTTCCTGCTCAGAACTGTGCAGGGGGGACTCTGGCCCATGTGGACTTCCACCTCCTGTACCAGTGTCTGTCACCCTGGGCTCTCAGTGGCCCTTGCCACCACTGACTCACTAGTCATCTTCCTTCGTGGGAGACAGCTCTGTGGGATTGGAGCACATTTTGTAAGGACAGGAATAAAGACCAAGGCACCCTGAAAAAAATTCAGAAACCTGCAGGTGCTGTGATCCCACAGCCTTTGTCCTCTAGGAGCCCCAGTGGACTCCGCCCTGTTTTCCCTTTAGCTTTTGTAACCTGCAGGGATGTGGCACAGAGATTGTCTTCTGCCTCTTCCTACAGGTGGAGAAAGTAGTTCTGGGAGCCACAGTGAACAGTCTGGTCTTGAATTGGTGGCTAGGACACAGGGAAGGAGGGAGTGTTCACCCTCGCCCTTGAGCTGAGATTGAGGAAGGCCCTGACGTTGGCTGTGCCCACTTGTCCTGAGCTCATACAACCCCTGCCTCCCCGACACCTTCAGCTTGTTTGGTTCAGTTGGAACTTCCGTGTTCTCTTTTTCTTTCTAGTTGGAGACGGTCTAAGGGAATCCTAATGGAATCAGTTGCCTCTCTCCTTGATCGCATTTCTCCCCTTGTTTCATGGCCCCTTCACCCTTCCCCTGGGCCTCCCAGGGTGATGTGCATAGGGTTGCAGGTGCTGACAGCCACACTACTCTCACCGATACCTCAGGCTGCACAGACTGAACCCACCTGACTTGAAAGTTTACCATGATAGAAAAGAAAGGAAGACATGTGGATATCAAGACTGAGAGAGCTCAAAGAGATTTCTTAAGGATAATTACTACCTAGCCTTACTATCCAAAAGAATTGTATATTAAGGCAAGAAATAGGAATGTACCTTATTTTAAAATGATTGCAGTATAATTCAAAATAAACCAGTACTTTTAGAAGCCCTCTGGCAGCCCATTCCTGGTGAGTCAGGGTCATAAATTACCTTTATTGTCTGGTAAATCTATTTCTAACTTACATGTGCATACTAGGATTTTAGTTTCTCTGGTCCCTTTTCAGTGGCAAAAGAAAAGTGGCAAAACATAGTAACTGGGCTATGCGCTTGCTCCCAGGGTGCTTATGACATTTTCTTAGTCTTCTCCCTATTGAAAAATTCTAGTCCTGTTGCCTTTTCTGCAGACTTTCCTTAATCCTTGGATTCTTCTCTGAACCTTCTCTGTGTGCTTTTTGCTGTGGCCCTGATGCCTAAGCAGCACCGTGGCAAGCACGGTAGATGCAAGACAGAGAACACAGGCCATCCCGTGCACATCACTGTATAATGCTCAGTGTCCAGTTGGTAGTTTACAGTAATCCCCCCTGAGTCATACGGCTTTGAAGTCCGTTGACTTACAAAAGCTTTTAGCGGGATCATGTGTGCAGAAATTCAGAACTTCCATTATGGTTAAAGGGAGATCCTAAAGAGTGTTATTTGGTTTAATTTATTGTGGCATTGGCAGGATGTGACCTCTCTGTCCCTCATGGTTCAAGGAGGTAATTACAGTACAGACGATGAGCTGGAAGCCCCTAATTGACATGGGCTGTTCTCATCATCCCAGGCCTGCAGTGCCAGAAAGCCAGGCAGGCTGGAATAGGCCTGTGACGTGGCTAAGTGATTGCAGGGGTAACCTGAAGAGCCCGCTTCCTAATTGCATCATCTGATTAATTTATCGTAGTGCAGTATCTTAGTGCAGTGACAGGACTGCAGAAGTATCAGAGAGATCTCTAAGACTCAGATAGCACGAGACTGCTCCAGAAGAAACATGATGCCTATTACATTAGAGTTGGATTCTGAGAGTAATTAAAGTGTGATGGTCTACATAACTTGTGTTTTATATAGAGCACTGTTAATTATATTTCTCTCTCTTGTCCAGAATGAGTCCTGTAAATTCTATAGTTACCAAAATGTAACAAAAACAAAAGATAAAAGTGTGGTACAGGTTGTACAAAGTGAAATGACCTTCCCAAATGTTCTTTGGCCTCTCGGACTCACAGGTCTGATACTGTCCATTAAGACCATGAATAATGAGGGATAAGTCTCCTAGTACCAGTTTTCCAAATGCTTATGTATGTATTTAACATCTAAAATAAAAGAGAAGTTTTCAAAGCCTGTTCACTTTTGAGACTTCCCTTAGGCTTCCCTGTGCTGAACTGGACTCAAGTCAGGCTGCCTGCCACAGTTGGTGGCTCCCAATTCAAGAGAGGTATTAACCCTAGATTGTCATTTACTCTGCAGACTGAAACTTCTCAAAAGCACATGGTCTTGTGTTTCCCTTGGCAGTGAGGGCACAGGAAGACCATAATCCATAGCTTCAGACCTGACCTTAGAAACTGATGCCACCGACAGCAGTGAAAGACACTTGTTAATTATGTAGCCTTCTTGGCATTTTTCACTTTCCCAAGGCTGGCCCCAAATTAGAAGGATGTTATGTTTTCCAGTTACAGTTCTGTTTGTGGAGCCCAGAAAGCTATTGTTTGGATTCCACATTGGAATGAAAAGTGCCTGCAGGGTGTCAGGGTGGTACTGTGCTTGGCTGGCAAGCTGCGTGCCAGGGCCAGGAGGTACCCAGTTCCCATGCCCTCCCATTTGCTCCTTTGCTGGCAGAACCCGCCTGCAGCTGGGTCCAGAGGAGCTAGCCACACCTTCCCAGGCAGACTTGTCCCTGAAAGAAAAGGAGCAGAGGAGGCACCCAGGAGGCAGAATTGTTTCCGTTTTTGTCTCACTCAGAGTTGATATCAGAATATTATTTGTGTTCTCTCCTACCTAAAAATCTTTATAGCTCAATGCAAAGGATTTCTTTATCTAAGAACTTAGGAATAAGAAGCATCTAGATACCTCAGTATCCTTTTTGATATGGGATAGGACATGTTTCTCCCCCCACCCCCATTCTCCAGGTAGCAATTGCAGCATTTCAGAAAGATAAAAGAAACTTCCTTTACACAAACTCCCAATTTACTCCTCCTTGGTAAAATATTTTACTGAAGAATTCACTCCATATCCAGGATGATGATAATCAGTTTTCTGTGCTTAAGTAGGTTTTCACTAACATGCCAGGGTTTTCTTTTCCTGCTTTTTCAGTCTTTTCGGCATTTCCTTTTGAGCGCTTTAATGTTGTGCATGTAACTGAACAATAGCTGAAGTAGATAATTTAGCAGTGGTCCAGTAGTAGTGCTGGCTGATGTGTGTGGCTAAAAGCTTTAAGGGTCGGCATCTTGGGCTGGAGTTGCACTTTCCAGCATTAGCCTCAGGGGGGCACCAGATCCTCCAGCATCAGCTCTGTGGAGAGAGGCCCACACTGCAAGTTTCCTTGCAATGGAATTGCAGTTGGAATTGCAGTTAGGGATGCAGACCTTGTGACCAGAGATGAAGGGAGAAAGGAGGAACCCAAAAACAAAGCAGGGTGGACCTAGGGGTCATTGCCACTCAGAGACTGTGCTGTGAAGCAGCAGGGGAATTAGGAGCTTTTTTTCTGGCCTAGGCTACCTCTGGCTAATTGGATAGAGGCCACTGGGTGAGTCTGGAAGGACTTCAGGTCAGGGTAAGGAATCGGAAAGCAGGTACTGGGTACCTCTGTACCTCCCATTTCTGTGTCTGAACACGGAGGAGAACACATGTAAATTTAAGATGCAAAAATACATTTGGTACTTGCTAAGTTCTTAAGCCCAGGAATGACAGATTTATCACTAATTAAACAATAATTGCATTATGGAATGCTGAAAAAATTGTTTGTGTATAAACAACATCTGGTAAAGATTAAAAAGAAAGAATAATTTTTCCAAACTCAAATTTGTTAAACCTGAATATTTTAAAACAAAATAGATCTGAAAATGTAAAAGGGATAGAGTCTTATGTTTAGTATTTTTAAAGTAGAAAAGAAGCAAGTGGCATAATAAAAAAATACATATTTATAAAGGTGCCTCATTGTACATGATAGATGTGAAGGTTTTGTGTAAATAGATTTTGTTTAAGCCAAATCATTCTTTCAGCTCAACAGAGGAGTTCACTGGTGAAATGACTTTATGGAGAATCTTCTTTTTAAGAAAAAAGTTATTTTGTGGTGAATATGCACATATTAACAACTCCACTGTGGAGAGAATAGTGGCTCAGAAACAGCTACACAATGGGAGGGGATTGTCTGGCTGCTGGGTAACCTGGAGGGGAAGCTGCCCATCAGCTTATTCTTTAAATGACCCATTTCCTAAGTAAATATTTAAACTACATGCAAGTACTTGGAAACACCAGGAAAGAGTCTGTTCCAGGCTTAATGAACTTCAGCTTCTTTCTCATCTGCTATTTCCTTCTTTATTTTTATGGAGAATATACCTATGAAAGGTGATAGATGGAAAGTACTACCTGATAATTTTTTCTGTTCGTTCACTTTTTATTTTTTCTAAAAGGGATTTACTTTTGTCTGTGAATTACCTTAAATCATAGTCTAATTTCCCTTTTTGGTTTGTTTTCTCTCTCTCTCTCTCTCTCTCTCTCTCTCTCTCTCTCTCTCTCTCTCACACACACACACACACACACACACACACACACACACTAAGCAAATGACAGAAAAAAAGAAACGCTTCTTCTTGAGAATTCTGTTCTGTGTTCTCAGGCCTCTTTCAAGTGGCAAGTGGCTTGTAATAATCAGTGGTGAGTTGGTATGAAAATAACAGCTTACGTAAACATCAAGGGCCAAGCACGAGATCCTGTGTAATTTGCACAGTACATGGTGCAGAGTAACAAGTTGGCCTTTCCCTTGCCTTTCCTCCAAAACAGGCGCAGAGACCATGGTTATTGTGTATTGATTCCCTGCTGACTCTCTTCCCTTATGTTTTGAGGGCTGAAGATGGGCTGTCTTTCTAGGTGGAGGGTGAGATAATGCAGTTCTGGGTAGCAGTGCAGGGAGATGAGAGGGGAAACTCGCATTAAACCAAGGGGAAGTACACCCAGCAGAACAATCTGGTCTATACAAGAAGGAAAGCAGAACCCAGAGCTCTCTATCATCACCTGCTGTGGCATTCAGTGAAAAAACTGGGGGAGTTGGAGGGAAGGACAAGACACATATTATTGAAGGCCTCCTGCTGACGTAGCTCCCTCGAGTTGAAGTGATTTGCCCGTGAAAATCATTAGGCCAGATGAAGAAGAGAGAGCTTGAGAAGGAACAGATTTTGATAGGATGGAGAAAAATAAACAGATGGAACCCCAAAAAGGTTTATTTTTTTCCCACTTTTATAGAAAAGATAATGGCCCCAGTCATGGGGCTCCAGAGCCCTGGGTTACAGAATGACCTGTGATGTGTTACTAGAGTGCCCCACATTACAAATAAGACAGGATTCGCAGAAGCTAGATGTCTGCTTCATCACTCATAGGATGCTGCAGATTTAGGGGGGAAGATACGGCTTCCAAAGAAGCATGTATTAAACACTTAATTCTATTTGGAAGATTCTCTTGATAAGAAAAGCAGCTTAAAATGTGATTTGATGTCACTGGGACACATGTCTGACTTGTGCATACACCAGTCCTCATGAGGGGACTCACTGACCCTGAAATTATGTGCTCAGAAAGTATAAAGAATCTGATTTTAAAAGCCATTGATGAGGGGTGCAGATGAGACGGAGCAAATCAAAATCTCTGCCGTTGCTGTTTCTGCAGGTTCCCCTGCCTCCTGGCCTGTTACCTCCTTCCACCTGTTGTGGAAGCAGGTTTAAAGTAGCCAAGGGTCTGAAATATTTAGAAAGAAAGAAATCTAAGAGGAGAGTCCATCTGTATGGGGAAGAACAAGCAGATTCTACACAGCCAGCAGACATTTAAAACACTGGATTGAACTATTTTGCTAGAAAACACTGCACAGAAGAAAAGTGTTTCCAAGCTCTCACCCTCTTCTGACAAACTGAGCTAGAGCTGTCTTCCTTGCTCCTCCAGTGGTTTTCATGTAACCCTACTCTACACATCTGATCATCGTTTTCTTTGCTGTTTGGAAATCCCTATAATTAGTATTGAATGATTCTCTACTAGCATCAAACCTATAGGATGGCTCTGGGATGGTTTCACCATTTAGAAAAAAGAAATTCGATTTTACCATTTTCAAATTTATCCTATCAGTGCATTGCCGTGCTCGTTTTTGTCTGTCTGCCTGTGGGCACGTAGCAGTGCTATTTGATCTTAAACACTCTTATTCAACAAGGATGGTGTCATACAAAACTTTGAAAATTGCTCTGGCAAACTTAGGTGAATCACATTTCTTTAAGACATATAGTTTGCTTTTCTCTTGTTTTATTTTTTTCATTATGAATTCATAGAAACTTTGATATTTTCTGTGCTTATCCAGTGACCTCTTAATAACTGTTATTATTTACAGTGAGACTGGGCAGCAGGAGATTAACTGACATGCCTAAGTTCAAAGCCACGAAATAACCTGCCTCTCCTGTCTTGAACAATGGTCCTGCCAAATTATTTGCTTGCATAGATAATGAATTTGTCTGTAAGAATTTCAAGTTAGTTTCTTTTAAATAAAAATGCGCAACAGTGAAGGATGAGGGAGCATGATATTTAAAGAGTAGGACATTTTAACTTGCAAATTAGAAATCTTGAAATAATTAAAAGGCGATTATCCTGTCCTGAACAAGTGGCAGAGCGGCAGTGCTGGCGAGTGGACGCTAGATGGCGTGGACTCTATGTCATTGGTGCGGCGCGGGGCGCTAGGCGCAGGGCGCGGGAGACCGCGGGGAGGCACGGTGCTATCTTAGTGTGGTCCAGGGCACCGATGCAGCAGAGTGCTTTTTATTCTTGCTGCGGGGGTCCTATGAAAAGTGTTTCCCAAAGCTAGTCATATCTAATGCAGAATGACTCGAATTTCCGATAGCCTTTGATCCACTAACGTGAATGGAGCTATGAAGCAGGGGTCCGTTCCCTCCGGGTGCACAGTGGAGGGGAGCCCCAGGCCTTCCTGCCTGCACCCGCCCCTGACAGAGCAGCAGGCGTCGCTTTCCACCAAACTGGCACCCCATAGCCTCCGATGATCTGAGGGGCAGCAGTTTTATCCCAAACCATCTCCCACTCCCCGTTTGTGAAAACATTGCCTTCCACGAAACCGGTCCCTGGTGCCAAAAAGGTTGCACACCACCCTGCTATAAAGGATCTGTTTTAAAACACAAATGGGCATTTTCATCTGGCATCATCTCATAATTTGAGCCCTGGCCAAAAGGATAGGGAACCTGGGACTGAGCCACTGAAGCTCCTCCTGGCTCCCAGGGCTACTGGAGGCCAGCTTCTGCAGACTCACATAATCAGAACCCATCACCAGAATATTCAAGGAGAAATTAGATACCTTTTATTCTAATTCGTTAACCCCCTTTTCATCCTAAATAACGCAAGCTGTTAAATCCATAGTGCACTAAGATTTGATGTGATTTAGTCCAGTGTGGTAGTGGTCACTGGTTTGCCAATAATTCTAAATTGTTATGTACTCATTACCTAATAAACAAGCTGCAGGCATTGGCCTGACCTCGAGGCACATCTAGCTATTTGAGGAGGTCACACACAGGTACATGACATGGGCCAGGCACATTGGCTCATGCCTGTAATCCCGGCACTTTGGGTGGCCGAAGCAGGTAGATCACCTAAGGTCAGGAGTTCAAGACGAGCCTGACCAACATGGTGAAACCCTGTCTGTATACAAAATATAAAAATTAGCCAGGCTTGGTGGCAGGCGCTTATAATGCCAGCTACTTGGCAGGCTGAGGCAGGAGAATCGCTTGAACCCAGGAGGCAGAGGTTGCCATGAGCTGAGATCGTGCCATTGCACTCCAGCCTGGGCAACAAAAATGAAACTCTGTCTCAAAACAAAAACGAAAACACACAGGCACACTTCAGTGGAATTGGCAGCACAGGCAGGCTCCACAGCATGTGGGCAGAAGGATGTTTTAAAGTTTCCGTAATAGTTACTGATTCTGTATTATGGATCACCTGAGCTTGTTATAGAAAAATGTGGAGCATATAGGAGTATACAGAGGAATAAGCCATCTGTAACCTCTGCCCAGGGAGACCACTGTCTGCACTTGTATGTGGGGCATTTTCAGTATAGCAGTGGTTCTTTTTTCTAACCAAGAGTTATATGCCAGTGTTCTGGCAATCAGCAGTTCCTCATAACACCTTTGGCTGGTAATAGCAAGTTACTGAGAAAGTTGCTACGATATTTCACTTTCTCATGGTCTTCTTCTTTTGCAGTCTCAAGCAGCCTGCCACCCTGCCATATTCCGGGTTGTTGATGAGATATTCAGGTAAATGTTACACTGTTTCTTCTAGTAATTGATGTAAAAAATGTTCCATTTCCAAACATGAATCAGAAAATGTTGTGGGAGTCTCTGGCTGTACATCGGGGAAATTAGAGTTTCTAATTCCCTCTTACTCCTCTGAGCTTTTTGGTAATTAGAGGTAAAAACTCAAAAATCAGTGTAAATTTTAAGGCCAGTGACTAAGAATTAAGATAACTTTCTTTTCTTTAGCCTTTAAAGATTCTAATAATAGAAACACAGAATTGAGTTAGATATTAATATCTTGAAAAAATCATGTAGGGTTTTTCTCAGCTGAGAATAAAGAGTAGCAATATACTCCCTTCACCACGTGAGGGCTGACCAATCTTTTTAAAAGACTTTAAAGCTAAGGAAAGCCAAGAAATATAAATAAATAAAGCCATTCTTAACAGAGCTCTTCTGAAAGGCAAAATACACCATGCATGTTCTCTTACAACACATTACATTTTTATTTTGAAAATGCAAGTGCTTCTTGGGAAATGCATTAAATTTATAGACGACAAGAGACCAGGAGCTCACAACCATGAAGTTGAGCTGTGGCTGGCAGTCAGTGGGAGTTTTAACCATGGAGTACTAAGACTGGACCCCACTGGGGAGCTTGTCACCTGGGAGTATCCTAGTCTCTCTCCCCGGGAAGCCCATATCAACTCTATCCCCCTCCCTTCCCAGAGGCTTCAGGGCAGACCTGCAGACTTTGGGGAAAGGAATTTTTACAGTAACAATAACTCACCACATTTTGGCCTTGAAACATAACACCTTTAAGCCAAATGGTAGAAATAAGTCAGAATACTGTTTAGGGCTTAAAGGCTTAAAGCTAGCAAAATTTGAGGGTTTTCTTTTTCTTTGCCTAAACAAACACAAAGAAAAATTAATTGTATGAAAATGCACAATAACCAAACAAGGTACACACTGACTCTTTCCTGACTTTGCTAGGTGGATGGACTAGGCCATTTTACCCCTTTGAGCACCTTCATCTCCGCTTATGAAAGCAAAATGTTGATGTTGCATGTCCAAGCATACAATACAAAAATATTTGTACAGAATATGCAAGCCTGGGTGGAAGGGAATTGCATTGCTTAATTTAAGAACCAAGAAAGAGAGCTCTGCACGTTGCAATTTTAAAGAAAATATTTTTAAAAGGGAGTAACATTTATCCTGCTTTCATGCAAGAACTGAAATCTGATGAGTTGAGATACTGCTGAAGCTTATGTCATAAAAAGAGTGTTTCCACTCTTCTCTTATACAGTGCAGGTTTATATGCTTGCTGATTACTCATTAAACGTGTTCTGATCTGACTTTGCATTGTTCAGGTGTGCACTCCTGGAAACCGATGGGGCCCCAGAAGTCATAGCCACTATTCAAGTGTTTACACAGTGCTTTGTAGAAGCTCTGGAGAAAGAAAACAAGCAGGTTTGTTATATTGCATATATTAGTCGTTCATCCTAAAGAATAAGAGGCTGTTGAGAGTATTTTGGACAAGAGCACTTTATTTTCAGTAATTTTGATGGACTGTTCTGCTCACAAAGAAAGGTTCCTAATGAGTACCCCAACAAAGGTTAAACCATTTTAATTATAAGTCAACGTCTGTCTGCCCCATGTGCTGGTACCCAGAAGCATCTGTCCACTGTTGTATCTGAGATCTCTGTCATGTCAGCATGCGTGGCCCTGGAGGGTGGCTCTTCTTGGCCCTGTGTGCAGAGCAGGACACTGCCCTCTGGCTGCATCTGAACCTCCCAGGTCAGCAGGAGGCACCCTGGGGTCTATATGGCATATGCTGCATTGGAAATGACACTTGTTACAAAGCAGTCCTGGACATTCTTAATTATTAGCATCTTCATTCTTATCAGAGATCCAAATGCGAATTGGATTCCAGAAGAGAAAGGAAGTGGTAAGAGTGACTGGGAAAGACTTGACTAACTAGAGGACAAGTGCAGTGACCAGGTGGTGTGTATTAGGCACAGTCGGTAAACCAGAGCCCAGGCCTGAACCCTGCAGAACACTGTGCTCCAGGTCCCCAGCAGCAGAGGCTGGGCAAACAACTGCCAAGAGTTATTGACCAATTACAGTGACCTTGGAAAACAGGAACTTTTGCTACCAGAGAGCTTTCACCTTTTGGCATTTTATTTGGTCTTTATTTCTAGTGCTGCAGATTTAATGTTTATGGGGCACATTGCCTATCCAGAGTGGTGCTGGTACCGTGCATCTCCTCTGTAGAGTATGTCACCATCCCTGTGAAGCTCTCTGCAGTTTGACTTATAAGAGCAGAGCTGTGATGCTTGGCCCCATCAGATCACACGCCACCCTCACAATGTCAAGTAAATCTCTCAGGTTTTAGCTGTTTCTACTTTTTTTTTTTTTTTTTTTTTTCAGACAGAGTTTCACTCTGTCACCCAGACTGGAGTACAGTGGCATGATCTCAGCTTGCTGGAGTCTCAGCCTCCCAAGCTTGAGTGATCCTCACACCTTAGACCCCATGAGTAGCCAGGACCTGAGGTGCATGCCACCACGCCTGGCTACTTTTTGTTTTTTGTTTTGTTTGAGACGGAGTTTTGCTCGTTACCCAGGCTGGAGTGCAATGGCACGATCTCGGCTCACCGCAACCTCCGCCTCCTGGGTTCAGGCAAGTCTCCTGCCTCAGCCTCCTGAGTAGCTGGGATTACAGACATGCACCACCATGCCCAGCTAATTTTTTGTATCTTTAGTAGAGACGGGGTTTTGCCATGTTGACCAGGATGGTCTCGATCTATTGACCTCGTGATCCACCCGCCTCGGCCTCCCAAAATGCTGGGATTACAGGCTTGAGCCACCGCACCCAGCCCTTTTTGTATTTTTTTTTTTAGGTACAATTTCCATTTTATTTTTCTCCAGAGAATAGTCTGTCTTGAGTCTTTAAGGACTCAGTTCCTTACATGGGCTTTGGTGTGGGTTGTGGGGAAGCACCCACAGGTCCAAATCGGGGTGGGGGTGTTCGGTCCTTGTGGGCTTCACGAGATAGATTCCTGTTTCTGCTTTTTAAGGCACCAGTAAATATATATATTTTTTATTTTATTTTATTTTTTTTTTGAGACAAGGTCTTACTCTGTCACCCAGGCCGGAGTCCAGTGGCATGATCATGGCTCACTGTAGCCTTTGACCTCCTGGCCTCAAGTGATCCTCCCACCTTAGCCTCCCGAGTAGTTGAGAGCACAGGTGCAAGCCACCACTCCCAGCTAATTTTTAAATTTTTTTGTAGAGATGGAGTCTCCCTCTGTTGCCCAGGCTGATTTCGAACACTTGGGCTCCAGGGACCCTCCCACCTCGGCCTCCCAAGGTGCTTGGATTCCATGTGTGAGCCACTGTGCCTGGCCAACAATAAATATTCGTGATTTATTTTTTTTCCCACCCTCACAATCCCTGGAGAAGTTAGCTGGGCTGCGCTTTTCATGGCCCCACTTGGAAATTTGGAGGCGGCTTGGCTAGAAGGCATGGCTGACCCTCATGGTTATTTTGAGCCTGACTATAATTGTCTTTGATTCTCCCTTGTGCATTCTTTGTAGTCCCCATTAGGAATGGGCCTCCAGGAAGCTTTGCCTGTGGCCTCCCAGAGCACACTTGGGTTGAAGCAGAGGCCACGCAGGAGCGCTGCTGTGCTCCTGAGGGTTAGCTTGTGCCTGTTTTTCTTCTTAGCTTCACACTCAGCCTCTGTGTTGGCTGTGGGCATTATGGATTTGGACTGATGTTGCAGTTGCTTTTAATTGAGAATAGTACCCTGGGCAGGCATACGTCTCTAGGGATGTGGGACCACACACTGGGTCCTGGTGAGGCTGGGCAGGGATCCAAAAACAAACAGGAATTCACCACCCTCACCTTCGGCTCAGAAAAGGAGAGCAAAGTCTCTGCTTTGCCAATGCCTTTGTAGGCATCTGTTAGTTTGTTTCTCTTCCTAGAGCTGTTTCTGAGTGCCTGCCTTTTTAACTGATGGCTGTCTGCATCTGTTGACCCTCTGCCTACTTGAGTGTCAATTTTTAGCTAATCAAAACCCTTCATGTCATATTTGGTAAATGCATGACCCTCTTTTCTCTCTGTGTTTTCTGTGTTTTGTTCATTCATACCTTCTTAATAAAATGAACATCTCTAAACCCAACAAGAAGTGGGCGGCAAGTGATAAGAACCTGTCTATCCACGTGCTCCTCCCTGCCTCTGTAGCCCTCCGGGTAACCTTTGGTTTGAATTTTATGTTTATTACTCCTTTGCTCTTTCTGAAGATAGTTTGATCACATATATATGACTGCCTAAACAATGTTTTGTTTCATTTTGGTTGCTTTTGCACTTTATAAAACAAACAAAAGCAGTATGCCATGTGCAGTATTTTGAGACTTGCTTTTCCACTCAGCAAAGATTCCTTGACGTTGCTGTACGTGGCTGTGGGAAGGTATTGTTATGCATAGTCCATTGTGAAAACCTATGGCAGTATAGCTACCCTGCTGCTGGTAGGCACTTGGGATATTCCCAAGGTTTTTTTTTTATTACAAATGATGTTGCTCTGGACACTCTGGGATAGATACTTAGGAGTGGAAGTGTTTGGGTATTCGATATGCAAAGGTTCAGCTTTCGCAGATCCTGCCAGACTCATTTCAAAAGTGGTGGTGTTCATTTGCATTCCCTGCAACAGTTTATGAGTGATCCCATTAATCTACATTTTCTCCCATCGACAGAAGCACTCATATCAGTGCTTCTGTCTCTTCTTACCCTTTCCTCTCACCCCTGTTCTGTTTGGAGGACACAGTCAGCTCCATCAATTCGCCCCATTAGACAGTAGGCAGAAATAGAGGTGCATGTGACAAGCCACTTTTTCTAAGCCTGCACTGTGGCTCAGTACAGCCAGTCAGGTTCGATTCTGGTTGCAGCCATGACAGCATCTGGTAATGAGCTAGATTAAATCTCCCACAGATAAAAATGACAAACTGCAGGCAAAGTATTTTTTGAAATCTGTTTGAAGGCACTACAGAGCACCTGAAAAAGCAGACAGAAACTAGAGGCCATCAACCCTTTAAAGGGACAGCACACTGAGAAGTCTCCTGCCTCCCCCCAGTTGCCCTCATGTGAGGTTGGGAAGGGGTGGGGGACCCCTTGGCACAATCTGATTGACTTAAGGTGCCAACAGATGGAAAGGTAGGCTGCTAAAGGAACAAGAAAAATTGAGGGGACAAAAGAAAACCAATGTCAAAAGATAGACCTAAACTCGAAACTACTGACAATGACACTAATTTCAGCAATTAAATGGAAGTTAACTAAATATTCTAGTAAAAAAGGCATAAATGTCAGATTGTACAAAAAGTGAAGACTCGGCTGGGCACAGCAGCTCATGCCTGTGATCCCAGCATTTTGGGAGGCCAAGGTGGGAGGGGAGGATTGCTTGAGTCCAGAAGTTCAAGACCAGCCTGGGCAACATAGTGAGACCCCCCCCACCATTTCTACAAAAAAAAAAAAAATTAACTGGGCATGGTGATGCACGCCTGTAGTCCCAGCTACTCAAGAGGATGAGGTGGGAGGTTTGCTTGAGCCCAGGAAGTGGAGGCTGCAGTGAACCATGATCACACCACTGCACTCCAGCCTGGGTGACAGGGCGAGACCCTGTCTTTAAAAAAAAAAAAAAGATTTTAAAAGCTACTGTAAGTAAGACAGTAAGGTATTGGCAAAAAGACAGCCATAGATCAGAATTGCATCCAGATATAGACCCATATATCTGGATTGCATATGTGGCCAATTGATTTTTGACAGAGATGCCAAGACAATTTAGTGGGGAAAGGAAAGTTTTCAAAAAATGATGCTGGAATAACTGGATGTCCATATGTAGGAAAATGAACCTCAACTGTTACCTTGTAAAGCACACAAAAATTAATTTGAGAGGATCATGGGCTTCAACATAAATGTTAGAACAATAAAGCCCCTAGAAAGAGTGTAGGAGAATATATCTGTTTGACATTGGGGTAATCTAAGATTTCTCAGAAGCAGTAACCATATGTGAAAAATGGATAAATTAGACTTCATCAGAATTTAAAACCTCTAGGCTGCGGGTATAGCTCATGCCTGCTTATAAGCTATGCCCCCATGATTAATGCCATAATCATGGCTAAATAGATTATGGCATAGTCATACAATTCAGACTACTTCTGAGCATTAAAAACAGAATGAACTACTTGTACATGCCATAATCTGTTTAGCCATGATGGGCATTAATCATGGGGCATTAATGGGCACATTTAGCACGTTGGGAGCCCAAGGCAGGCTCTCTTGAGCCCAGGAGATGGAGACCAGCCTGGGCAACAAAGGAAGACCTCTTTTCTACAAAAAATACAAAATTTCACTGAGTGTGGTGGCACACACCTGTTTCCCTAGCTACTCGGGAAGCTGAGGTGGGAGGATCACTTGAGCCTGGGAGATCAAGGCTGCAGTGAGCTGTGATCATGCCACTGCACTCCAGCTTGGGCAACACAGTGAAACCGTATCTCAAAAAATAAGAAAGAATTTAAAATTTCTTTTTTTTTTTTCTTTTTTTTGAGACGGAGTTTCGCTCTTGTTACCCAGGCTGGAGTGCAATGGCACGATCTCGGCTCACCGCAACCTCCGCCTCCTGGGTTCAGGCAATTCTCCTGCCTCAACCTCCCGAGTAGCTGGGATTACAGGCACGTGCCACTATGCCCAGCTAATTTTTTGTATTTTTAGTAGAGACGGTGTTTCACCATGTTGACCAGGATGGTCTCGATCTCTTGACCTCGTGATCCACCCGCCTCGGCCTCCTTTGATAGATATCATTAAGGAACTGATAAAGCAAGCCACTAGCTAGAAGAAAATATCTGTAATACATTTATACGACAGGATATGTGTCCAGAACATATGAAGATCTCTTACAACTTTCTAAGAAACCAGTTTTTAAAATGGACGAAATACTTCAATATATACTTTCAAAAAAGAAATACAAGTTGGCAGTAAGCATATGGAAATTGTTCAGCATCATATGCCATCAGGAAAGTGCAGAGTGAAACAGTTAGGAAAGCAAGTATTCATAGGATAATGTTCCCTAGCCACTAGAATGGATGAAATTGGTAAGACTGACAGCACCAAATTCTGGGGAGCATGTGGAGCAACTGGAATGCACATACATTGCTGGAGAGAGTGAGATGGTACACTGGAAAACGATATGGCCCTAGAATGTCAAACAAGCATCTATTCTGTGACCCAGCAATTTCATTCTGATGGTATGCACCCAGAAGAAACAGAAACACGTGTCCACAAAAAGACATACATATGCATGTTAGCTGTAGCATTATTTATGACAGCCCAAACTGAAAGCAGCCCAAGTGCACATCAGGAGGAGAATGGCTAAACAGATTACGGCATATTCATACAATTCAGACTACTTCTGAGCAATAAAAACAGAATGAATTACTCATACACAGTAACATGGCTTAATCTTTATAAAAGCATGTTGAGCCCAAGAAGCCAGACACAAAAGAAAACGTAGTTTATGTTCCCTTTACACAAAATTCAAGAATAAGCAAAACTAATCTCTCTTATCAAAATCAAAACATTGGTTGCCAGGGTTGGGTAGAGGGAATGATGGTTAAGTATTGGAAGGGAACTTTTCGAGGTGATAGAAATGTTGTGTCTTTGTTGGGGTGGTGGTCACATGGATTTGCACATTTACCAAACCTCATGTATTTAAAGTCCATTTACTCCATACTTTTTACCTCATAGATTTTACCTCAATTTTTAAAAAAGCTTCTGTGCCTCTTGGGGGCAGAGATAGCTATAGCTCTTTGGCCATCGAAATGTGAGCATGGTTGTTTATGCTTTTGTTATTATTTTAAAAGCCATGCTGAGCTGGGTGCAGTGGCTAATGCCTATAATCCCAGCACTTAGGGAGGCTGAGGTGGGCGGACCACTTGAGGTGAGGAGTTCAAGGTCAGCCTGACCAACATGGTGAAACCCCATCTCTACTAAAACTACAAAAATTAGGCTGGCATGGTTGCACACACCTATAATCCCAGCTACTCTGGAGGCTAAGGAAGAAGAATTTCTTGGACCTGGGAGATGGAGAATGTAGTGAGCCGAGATTCTGCCACTGTGCTCCAGCCTAAGCAACAGAACAAGACTCCATCTCAATAAAAACAACAAAAACGAAATGCAGAATACCTAACATCTCACAACTGCTTTGGCAAATCTTACTGAAAATAGAGGATTTATTTGTATAATTGGGTTCATGTGAGGTAGAACTCATAAAGACATCAAGAGCATAACTTTATTATTTTTTCTTAAGTCCCAGAAGGAGATTTTAAAAGGTTAATTATTCTGGAAAATATGAAGTTGTTGGGAACTTATTTTTCAAAAAATAAACGTTTAAGAAAATATTCTGACCGTGTTAGTACTGGTGGGTCTTTTTTGGGCAGAGGGACTCAGGGTTTTGTATTTTCCTAACCCCCTTTTAATCCTAATGTTTATGTTCTTTGGCTTTCCATCCTGTGGCAGCTGCAGTTTACACTCAAGACCTACTTTCCGTACACTTCTCCATCTCTTGCCACGGTGCTGCTACAAGACCCTCAAGGTGAGTTAGGGTTGACTTCACCCACATCAAAATGGTTTCCTGGGAAGAGCACTGTCAAATCATGACCTTTCCACCAGGCCCTTATCTATAACATGAGGGAGAATTGGTTATTTATAAGATGCCTTTAAGCCCCCAGGATCCCATATTCCGTGGATTTTGATGTGAGAGTCTGCCTGGCTTCCCAGTTGTGATCACTTACCAAAAGAAGAAAAAGAAAAAACAAAACAAAAAAAGCTAGTGGGCTCTGGCAGGTTTTGCTAGTCTGTGTCCAGACAACACAGGCTCTGCCGGTGCTAACCACATCCACCAGATGCCAGGAACAGGCTAAGACTTGGCTGAGTCAGAATATAACAGTACATTCATTTGCTTTTCATTCTTTCTACTCTGTGCAGCCTTGTTTCAGAAGAGAAGATAAAATGATGGATGAAGCTGAAGAAATGCAGGGGAAGTTTACCTTAACCAGGCTAAGGGAAGGATTTTGAGAGAGTTCAGTAAGATGCTTCACCCACAGCTTTTCCTGATTTCCTTTGCCAGCCTTCCAAAGGCTGTCCAGTTGGGGAAGTGATGGTTCCAGCCTTCATTTGACTGGTGTTGATCCAGAATGTGGCTGTGACCTGGTGCTTAGGAGACATTTCAGAAATAGAGAATAAGGGCACCCTTTCTCTCTGAAGCCTGAAACCTGACAGAAGGCAGCCCTGACATGGGCACAGACTGTGCCAGCCATAAAGGTGTCTTATCAGTGCATGGGAGGAGAGGAGAGGGAAGGGAACAAGCCAGTCACGTTTCCCTTTCTTTGTTTTTGAGATGGAGTCATGCTCTGTTGCCTAGACTAGAGTACAGTGGCATGATCTTGGTTGACTGCAACCTCCGCCTCCTGGATTCAAGCAATTCTCCTGTTTTAGCCTCCTGAGTAGCTGGGATTACAGGCAGTTGCCACCGCACCCGGCAAATTTTTGTATTTTTAGTAGAGACAAGGTTTCACCATCTTGGCCAGGCTGGTCTCAAACTCCTGACCTCGTGATCCACCCACCTCTATCTTCCAAAGTGCTGGGATTACAAGTGTGAGCCACTGCACCCAACTAGGCCTGCTTTTTTTCTGAGACTTGAATGAGTAGATTTGCATGAGAAATGCAGATATTTCAAAGTTTCACAGCATTTTATAAAACCTAAATTCCTCTTCCTTTCTCTAGAAGATATAAGTTTTCACCTAGGGTGACCTCCCTCTCAGATGCTGGAGCTGGGAGTGGGATCTCTGGGAACACAATGGGAAACTTTATTAACAAGACAGAAAAATGAGGAATTCACTCTCCCAGGGTTCACCTTACAGCTTACAGCAGATCGGCAAAGCCTGAAGTCAGCCCACCGTGGACACTGAGTGAGCTCCAGAAAATGTACTGGAGTTGTTAGTGTCTCAGTTTGGAAACAGTAAGCAAATGGCGAGGTGGTGCGCGGGCACAGGCTCAAACCCCTACCTATCCGTTTGTGTAACTGTTTATACCCAAATACAAATAGGTGGCTTCAAGCAGAAGTACAAGAACCTTTTGTGGTAGTTCCTAGAAGAGCTGTCTGTATGTTACTTTTGGAAACAATGAGTGTTACGGTCACAAATTGAAGAAGTGTTTTTTAGTAGCATAATCTTCTGTTTATAAGAAATTTATTTCCTACCCATTGTGAAGGCCAGGGGAGGGGGCATAAAAGATGATCACTTACAAGCACTAACCGTCTAGGAACTACAAGTGGAGGAAAAGCAAAATAAATATCTAAATAACTAGTAAAAAGAAGAAATGAAAAATGCCTTCAAAAGGCTGTGCTCTAAGGGCTGTGGGAGCTCAGAGGAGAGAGGGCTGGCCTTGTGGAGTAGCGGTGGTTCATCCATCACTGACCTTATCTTCCTTTTGTGTTCGATTACGGCATCTATCACTGCATGAAAACTTTTGCAGATGCTGTGTAGAACTGCAGATATGTGCTCCTCAGATGTGTTTAAAACCACAGGATGATTGTGAAACCAGAGTAGTTCACTCAAGAAAAGACATTTGTTTGCAATAACGCTCACTTATTTTTTTTTTCCTGGCCTTTTTTTCCCACTACTTGAAATCATATTCTGAATTCATCGTAGCCTAAGAAAACAGTCAGGCAGTCTATTCCTAATTCCTTGTTGGCTGCTTTATTACAGTCTCCATCTATTTTGAAATCACACATTAGTGATGGAGGAGTGGGTAGGTAGGAAAGAAGAAACCTGGGGCACCTGCAACATGACATTTCTCAGCCTCGGGTGGGCTGCTTATGGATACTCTAGCTGCTTCCATATACCTGAATTGAAAATTACTTGAGGCCAAGTGGGGAGGATCACTTGAGCCTAGGAATTTGAGACAAGTCAGAGTAACATAGTGAAATCTCATCTCTACAAAAAAATTAAATAGCTGGGCATGATGGCATACCCCTGTAGTCCCAGCCACTGGGAAGGCTGAGGTAGGAGGATTGCTTGAACCCAGGAAGTTGGGGCTGCAGTGAGCCAGGATCGTGCTACTGCACTCCAGCCTCTGGCAGAGCAAGAACATGTCCAAAAAAAAAAAAAAAAACCACTAAATAAGATGATTTATAAATAAAACTCTGTGTAACATAGACAGATCTTACTTTCCCGGGCTTAAGAGATAGATACTAACTGGGAAGAGCATGAGAACAGTGTTGGGTTCCATGAACCAGAAGAAAAGGGCGTCTCCCAAAGACTCTTCAGGTCTCACTTCAGATGGTTCCTCATGGGCTTGACTTTTTCTCGCTTGCCCTCTGACATGTCTCTTTCCACCTGCAGGTATCCCTCAGGGACAGTGGCTCCAGACATTGAAGCACATTTCTGAACTGCTCAGAAAAGCGGTTGAAGATCAGACTCACGGGTGAGCAAACACCACACCCAAATCTACTTCACACACGGTTTCCCTAGATCCTCATCTGCCTTTTGGGAAGGGCTGACAGAGGAAGAAATTACTGGTCTGGGATAAACAGGTGAGCACTATGGCAAAGTGAGGAGTGAAGGAAGCACATGGCTGCATGGATGGTTTGGAACAGGTCAGGATAAATAGGCATGCACCTGTATGCGTGTGTCAATACCTGTAATATCTGGTTTCGTTTGAAATACACAGGCATAACAAAAAAAGAAGAGACCTTGGAAAAAGCAATGCCCACTTGCTGGAAGCCCCTGGCCATGCAGAAGGAAAAGGGCACCTGTTTGGGTCCTTTGATCTTCTCTCTACCTCTCTAGGGAAGGAAATTTGAAACTTCTGCACAGCAGGGTGGAATGTTAAATGCTTATTTTTCCTTCTGTCTAATAAATATCTCTAAAAATAAGAAAATCTATTCTAAATAAATTATTATTATTTTTTTAATTTTTAGAGATAAGGTCTTGCTCTGTTGCCAAGGCTGGAGTGCATTGGAATGATCACATCTCACTGCAGCCTCAAATTTCTGGGCTTAGGTGATCCTCAACTCAGACTCCTGAATAGCTGGGGCTACAGGTGTGTACCACCACACCTAGTTAAATTTTTTTTTTTGTTAAATTTTTTTGTAGAGGTCTTGCTATATTGCCTCAAACTCTCAGGCTCAGGTAATCCCCCTGCCTTGGCCTCCCATCATGCTGGGATTACAGGTGTGGCCGCTGTGCCAGCCTGTTAATTTCTAACAGTATTGTTAGGTATCCTCTTATGTGTGTGACTTTCCTGACAGCATTCACATTTAGGCTTGGCTAAATTCCTTGTATCATAGCATTCTTTGGCTTCCTCTTAAGTCCCTTTCTTTTAGAGTATAAATAATTTTATTCATTGTCTCTGCTAGCATACTAAGACTATCTTATCTATTCCTTTTGCCACTTTTCACTCTTGGCATTCTCTGTAATCTCACACCGAGCCAAGACATATGATGGGTGATGTGCCTCTGTCCAGCTCCGTGATTGATGGCTTGGGTGCAGGATGCTCACTTCTTCCCCACTACGATTCTTACCAATGGAAAGCAGACAAAAAAGACCTGAAGCCAGTGGGGGCCGCAGGGTTGGCCACATGAATAACAAGCAATGGCTGGTCAGCACCCTACACACCCTCCCTGGTTGTCCTGGTGTTACACAGAGCTGAACCTCAAAGAATCTTAACTCAGGGACATGGAAGTAGATGAAGGTGGCGTAAACAGCCGACCCTGTGATTGAGAAATGCGGTGCTGCAGGTTCCCTAAGTGTTTTTCTCTTCTACCTATCCACCCTCTCTGCCATACTCATAATATGTGATGTCAAAATGCATGGAGACTGTAATAAAACAGCAACCAGAAAGGGTTGCCACAGTTTGTGGCACTGTGGAGCAGGACTTAGGCCTCGTGGGGCTCCCACCTCAACCCAGACCTTGAGGTCAGGAGTCACCTTTCAGGTGGCCATGTGGGACTGCCTTGTGCCTTCAGCTACTGATGGAAGAGAGGAAAGGACCAGGCTGGTCTCTGATCCTGATCTGGGCACACTGCCAACCTGAGAGCAGGGAACATGAGGAGGCCCCACTGCTCTGTGCATCTCTGTACTCCAACATGGTGCCTGCAGGGAAGAGGCATGGTGGAGTCCCCTCCTCACTCTGATACAGCCTAACCCAGCCTACTGCCAATGTGGCCGCCAGAGCATGAGCTCTTCCTGGGGAAGAAGGGGTAAGACCAGTACTCCACCCTCCTGTCTTTTCCTCTCTGTTGCTCAATTATAGAACATTAACCACTTCTTCTCAGGGAGGACTGGAGCAGGAGGATAGCATTGACCAGGGAGGTGAGGACAGTTCTTAGAGCATGGGAATTCCATGGGCCAGGAGGAGGAACATGGAGCTGGATCCAACAAAGGCGCTGCAGAGGGGCCAGGAACACTCCTGTTCCACCCACTGCCCCAGACCAGAAGGAAAGTTTGCATCTAACGTGATCTCAGCCGGTCTGTTCCATTCTCTCCAAGGGAGATGTTAACCTGCTGAAACTGGCACTGCACACAATTAATGGGTCATCTCGAGCAAATTTTGCCCTTAAACAAGTATTACAACTCCCATTTGCCAGTGTGGCCAGGGGATAGCTTTGCAAACACTTTAACTTTCTGGCATTGATGCACACGTGATGACAGCAGCTTGCTAAAAATTCATAGTTGCAGCTGGGCTCATGTCTGTAATCCCTGCACTTTGGAGGCCGAGGCAGGCGGATCACAAGGTCAGGAGTTGAAGACCAGCCTGGCCAATATGGTGAAACCCTGTCTCTACTAAAAATACAAAAATTAGCCAGTCGTGGTGGTGCACCCTGTATTCTCAGCTACTCAAGAGGCTGAGGCAGAAGAATCACTTGGACCTGGGAGGAGGAGGTTGCAGTGAGCCGAGACAGTGCCACTGCACTCCAGCCTGAGCGACAGAGTAAGACTCTGTCCCCCTCCCCCTCAAAAATTATTCATAGTTGCTGAAACATCCACCCGAACCTCGTGTCTTGAAGGAAGCAGCCTATGTTTCTGCCTGCGTCCCACCTTCCACCTCTTTCTCTGCATCTCAGAAGGCAGGGTGATGTGCCGCCACATCCTGCGACATTCCTGCTGGTCACGGCCACAATCTTGCTTCCTCAGTGCCTTTCCTCACTGAAGGTACCTGGATTAAAGACTGATGTCTGAAGGCCTCAGGCCTCACGGGTTCCCTGAGAGGCACTCTTTCGATGTCCTGTGATGGTGCAGAGTGGTGTTCAGAACAGTTTTCTGAGTCTAACTTGTATTCCTTGCAGGTTGCACTTCAGTGGATAAGTACAATTTAAGCCAACCGTTGGCAAACATTAAAGTTGGTTTAAAAACCCAAAGGAGGAAGAATTCAGGTTGCTGGCTGCCATGTGTTCTGGCTCTGTTCCAGGTCCTGCAGAGGTCCCTTTGAGAGCTGGTTCTTGTTCATTCACTTTGGAGGATGGGCTGAGATGGCAGCCGAGCAGTTACTGATGTCAGCAGCTGAACCCCCCACGGCCGTGCTGTGGCTCTTGGCCTTCTACTACGGCCCTTGTGATGGGAGGCAGCAGAGAACACAGACCATGGTGAGTAGCAAGCCTCACTGCGTGTGTTTGGGGTGGGCTCTGGGGGCTGAGGGGAGCCTGTGGAGAGGGGCTCTGTTGTGGGCTTGGCTTTCATGACACCTGAGCTCTGCCCACAGGTGGCATATGTTGTGGCAACCTACAGGCATGGTGACCTCCAGCCTTATAGTCAGATGCTCTCCTTCCTTTCCCCTGCCCGCCCTGGCCAGAGACGAGAGACTGTCAGCCCATTCTCCTGGAAAACACCCTTTCTTCCTCGAGGTCGTTTGATCTGTTGTTGCTTAGCTGCCACATCTGCCCTGGGGTCTCATCCTCCAGGGCGTGCCTTGCAGAGGGGGCTCTTCTGAGGGGTGCACCCACAACAGAGCCCAGCCACAGTCAGTGCCCTGTCTCGCTCCCCAGCAGCCTGGCTGGGGCTGCTTCCATCTTAACTGCCTGCTTTCTTGGATCAGTCAACAGATCCTTACATTACTGGCTTTGTTTACGTCTCTTCCTAAAGTAATCACATGATATTAACCACTTTGCTTCTGAAAAGGGACTTGGTCATTTCCTAAATAACAGAGCAGTTAAGTATGGGACTGGATAACTGTGTGTGGCAAAAGCAGTTGTTATTTTATGTGGAATATAATAATTACAGGAAGCAGTGCTTTGATTAAAGGCATTGGCACCTCCCTTGCAAGCATTTATTTGCTAGGCTCTTGAAACTTCAAGTGCCGGTGCTCTCTGCTGATTTTAGTAGTTAGAGGACAATGCTCATTTTGTATGGAGCACTGCTCTTCTTGGCTTTGTATTTTCTGTTGTTTGAAAACACAGGGACTAGTAAAGATGTCTGCGCATTTTATTTGTTTTTTGAGATGGAGTCTAGCACTGTTGCCCAGTCTATAGTGCAGTGGTGCAATCTCGGCTCACTCCAATCTCCGCCTCCTGGGTTCAAGCAATTCTCCTGCCTCAGCCTCTCAAGTAGCTGGGACTACAGGGGTTCGCTGCCATACCTAGTTAATTGTTTTGTATTTTTAGTAAAGACAAGAGTTTCACCATGTTGGTGAAAGGATAGTCTTGATCTCCTGACCCCATGATCCACCCGGCTCAGCCTCCCAAAGTGCTGGGATTACAGGCATGAGCCACTGCACCTGGCTGCATTTTATTTGTTTAAAGGCTTGCATGGCATAGAAAAGAAAAATATTTTTAGATTTTAAATGTTGAGATTTGTTAATAATTTATTTTAGTTCAGAAATAAAGTTTTGTGAAGACATTATCAAACCCACATATGTATTTGCGTATTGCTGTCTGATTAAAAAGAAAGCTTTTTATTTCTTCCCCTTTAAAAGATCACATTAAACTAATTAAGGAAAATCCTGGTTGATGTTTTTAATAGTAATAAGCTGTATGGAGTACTCATGGTTTCAAAAGCCCTTTTATATTCCGTCTTATTTGATTCTGTATAAGCTAAGTTGGTAGATATGTTCTCAATTCTGTCACCATAATGGGTACTGACAGAGAGTCACTTTTGAAATATAAAGAAATAGGCCTGGAGCAGTGGCTCACGCCTGTAATCCCAGCACTTTGGGAGGCTGAGGTGGGTGGATCATGAGGTCAAAAGATCGATATCATCCTAATACTGTGAAACCCAATCTCTACTAAAAATATAAAAAATTAGGCGGATGTGGTGGTATGCACCTGTAGTCCCAGCTACTCAGTAGGCTCAGGCAAGAGAATCGTTTGAACCCGGGAGGCGGAGGTTGCAGTGAACTGAGATTATGCCACTGCACTCCAGCCTGGGCAACAGAGTAAGACTCCACGTCAGAAAAAAAAGGAAATTATCCAGTAACACTTAATTTCTAGAAAGTTCTACATTGGCACATCTTCTACTAGCTAACTTAGTCCTTTTTTGAAGAAAAAATAGCAAAACCTTCATAGTTCTCCCTCAGGGGATGCCTAGGATTTTGGATGAGAATGGATTGGCTCACTGTGAGTGGGGTGGTGGCAGGTATCCGTTTCCCTCCCTGCCTTTCTGTCACAGGTGCCTATCTGCCTGGCAATTCAGTCCAGTGCTCCTGTTGGTGACTCAAGAGCCCCTTCCTCACTGGTGTCTGCCTGAGGCATTGGTGTATGTGGCGTCCTGGGAAGGGGGCTTTAGTTGAATGAATGATACCTGTGGTTTCCCTGGGTTTTGTGAGCTTTAATCCCTTGGTGATCTGTTGGGGGGCCTAAGAGACAAACTGTGAAGCATGATTCTGATGAGATTTGATTGGAATTAGCAGGATCTGTGCATTTGCCTTACTTAAAAAGGCACAACTAAATCAGTTGTTTGCGTATCCCCACATCATGTGTTGGGGCTGGTGTCACTGCCTCTGTGGCTGTCCTTGAGGTGAAGAGCATGGGTGCAGACGGCAAACCTGTCCTCGCCCAGGTTGTGTCCTGCCCATGAGAAGGCCTGTGCCACTCACGGGAAAGCCATGTTCTCTACCAGCCAGAGTTCATCTCCTTTTGCCAAGTGAATTGGATCACAACAAAATAAATAAGTCTATTTAGATACCCTTAAGAATCAGGCAAGGTACAATGATGACTAGAGAAAACAAGGAAAAAATAAAAAAAGAATCAGGGAAGGGTTCATACCTTTAATTGTGTCATTCCATTTCTAGGAATTACCCTAGGTAATTCTCTATCTGATCCATGCAAAGGCATATGTACAAGAATATTCAGCACAGCATTGTTCATAAATACAGCAATGGGAAATGGCCTAAACTTTCAACAGTAAGGCTACTGGCCAAATAAATGGTGGTATATCCTAACCATGGAATAGTATTCTATTATACATCATGAAGAACCATGCTCTTGGCCAGGTGCAGTGGCTCATGCCTGTAAACCCAGCACTTTGGGAGGCCAGGACGGCTGTATCACTTGAATCCACAGGTTTGAGACCAGCCTGGGCAACATGGATCCCTGTCCCTACAAAAAAAAATGAAGAAATTAGCCAGGTATGGTAGTGTGTGCCTATACTCCCAGCTACTCGGGAGGCTGAGGTAGAGGGATCTCTTGAGCCCAGGAGGCAGAGGTTACAGTGAGGAGAGATTGCACTACTACACTCCAGCCTGGGTGACATAGCAAGACTCTCTCCAAAAATAAAAAAGAAAAATCATGTTTTTGAAGAACATGTTTTATAGATAATGAACTGGTTATAGTGCATTATGGAGAGAAAAATGAAAGATGCAAAGCATTATGTGTATTGGTCTGGTCTCAGTAGTGAGTGGTATGGTCTCAATGCATAGAAAAAACACAAGAATTATATAAACCGAATTATTAACAGTGCATCTTTTTGGATGTTAGAATCATAGATCATTTTAATGGTTTTTCATTTTCTCTTTTCAAGTTTTCCATAGTAAACATATGGAAACATAAACATTTTATGATGCAGGATAAAAAATACTTTAAAAAGAAAAGAAAGTTTACATCTTTCTCCTGAAAAACTTAGGAAGCATTTAATGGTGTTCAAATGGAAGCCTACGGGCACAGACAGCATCTGAAGGGAAAGATAGTCTGGGACAAACAGAAAGGAAGAAGACCCCATCTTAGGGATTATTGGACAAGGGCAGAAAGGCAATTGTGGGTCAAGAGAAAAAAATGTATATAAAGGCATAGCCTCCTAAACCCCGACATTTTTGCAGACCTATTTAGATGGCTGACTGGCCTTGGGCTCCTGTAGACACCATCAGACCATGGCAGGCTGGGCCCAGCTGAGGGCGAGGTGGGGAGAGCATGGCCTGGCCTGCTGGAACGCGGTCGCTCCCCGTGGAAGAGCCTGATGGTGCAGTTTCTCACGGTCTCATATTGTGGTCGGTGGAGCTCACACAACACGCCCAGTGTACTGGAGTTTATGACAGACTTCATTGAATGAGGCCTTGACTTCCAGGGAAAAAAACGCCTCACACAAAATCCATAAAATCAGTCACGGGAATTCTCAGAATAGGCCTAAATATTCTTTCAGAAATGATGGAACATAGCTGTTCATGAGTTCTATGTGGCATTTGGATCTATGGGCTTTCAGTTTTTGCTTTGTTTTCCAAGTCATGACTGGGTGTACCATTCTTGTAGCAAGCAGAAACATCTCAGCATGGAATAAATATTTTTTATGTAAAAACCCACAGACTCACAATTACCATTATTATGTGGATTCCACAGACTTGTGACCTTGCTTGAGCATTAAACATGTATGAACAGATTGTTCCAGCATCTAAAACAAATGTGTTGTTCTTGTGTGTGCATGTATATGTATATGACCGTGCATGTGTGTATGTGCGTGCTTGGGTATGTGTGTTCCCCCCATCCCTCCACTCCTACCCCAAATAAAGCAGGAAGCAAAGGCAAGCCCGCATTCATATGGGAACATTGGCTCAGTGAAGGTCCAGCTGCGTGGGGCTTTAATTGATTTGTGGCTGTGATAGTAAGGCGAGTCTGCAAGAAGCCTTTCGTTGTTTTTCCCCACAGTGTAAAAATCTGACTACATTCTGTTGAGGACTTTTCTCTTTCTCCTTTTATGCAAAAAAGAGGTCAATTCCTGGCATGGTGCCCTGGCTGCTTGATGAGCAAGATGAAAGAAAATCAAGCAGTTTCTATTCCACCCATTTGGATTTGTGTGGAGTAGAGTGTACACTCCGCCACTGATAGCTCCCTCTCTCAGGGCGGGTCCTCACCCATTTTGGGAGATCGCTTCAAAACAAATAAATAAATCCTAGAATCATGTCTGTCCTGCCTCTCTTAACCTCTCCTTTGTCAAATGCTGTTGCCTAGGTCCAGGTAAAGGCTGTGCTGGGCCACCTCCGGGCGATGTGCAGAAGCACCACCCTCTCTGCCAAGGACCTCCAGACGGCAGCGGGACAGGGCACAGACACAGACCCCAGAGCTCCTGCACAACAGCTGATCAGGCACCTTCTCCTCAACTTCCTGCTCTGGGCTCCTAGAGGCCACATGATTGCCCGGGATGCCATCACTCTGGTAAGTCTCCCTGTGGTCCAGCATCCTAGTTCTCATTTCTGCCCCAGGTGAGAGGTGGGTTACCTGCCTGAGGGTCTGGCCTCTGCAGAATGTGTGTACCAGCATGGATAAATGGTCAGGGAGGTTGACAGCTGGGACGGACCCCAGAGCCTGCACCCTGTAACACTTTTCTGTCACAGAGGAAAAAAGAGAGGCTCAGAGAAAGGAGATGCCATCTCCTGGGCCCATGGCTTGCTGCCAGAGCCCGCAGTAGAAGCCAGGTCTCCTGTTCCCCTACGTCCATTTCTTTCCATTGCAGTATGCTGCTCTCTTCCTCCTCACAGAAAGAAATAAGGCCACAATGAGAAAGTGCTCGCAAATGCATCTACAGTGAGTGCATCTACTGCAACAGTGCAAAGAATTTTGTTAATTTTTAACAAATTGGTTTATTACAAAGAAATCCTTCCTGAAGCCCACTTGACGGGTAAAGAATGGTCCAAGTCAAAAGTGAGCACTCTTTGTGACATTAGGTTTGGCAATGATGTCTTAGATATGATACCAAAGACACAGCAGTGAAAGAAAAGAATAGTTAAATTGGACTTTATGAAAATTAAAAGCTTTTGTGCATCAAAGGATACCATCAAGAAAGTGAAAACAGTTTACAGAATGGGAGAATATATTTTGAAATAATGTATGTGGTTAGAGTTTAGTATTCAGAATACATAATTCTTATAATTCGACAACAAAAAGATAAACAACCCAATTCAAAAATGAATAGACATTTCTCCAAAGAAGATATACAAATGGCCAATAGACATGCGGAGAATGCTCACAGAAAGGACACGAGAGGCCAGGGAAAGGCAAAGAACAGCAATGTGCACCGCACAGCCATCAGGATGGCTCTCAGCAGGAGAGGAGAGAAACGCCCATGAAGACATGCAGGAACCAAGTGGGGACGCTAACATCATGCCGCTGCTGTGGAGAAGAGTGGCGTGATTCCTCAAACAGCCAAACCCAGAATTACTGTGTGGCGGGCGGTACCTAGGTCTACACTCAAGAGAGCCAAAAGCAGGGGCTGGACAGCCATCTGGCCTGTGCTCAGGGCAGCACTATTTGCAGCAGCCAGCAGGCAGAGACGGCCCAAATGCCTGTAGAGGAATGAGCAGTGCACAGTATGGTCTGTGCCCGTGATAGAGTGTTGTTCGGCCTGAAGATGGGAGGAAGTTCAGACAGTGCTGTAACAAGATGACCCTTGAAGACACTGTGCTTCATGAAATAAGCCAGGTACAAGGACATTGTATGAGCCCACTTAGATGAGGCACCTGGAATACAAGTCCAGGGAGAGGAAGTTTCCCAGGGGCAGGGGTTGGGGAGTCAGTGTTGGGATGATGGAAAGGGGCAGGAGATGCACAGTGCCAATGGTTGTACAATACTGTAAAATACTGAGTCACAAAAATCGTTACAACAGCACATTTTATGTATATTTCACCACAGTCTTAAAAAATACTCAGAACAAGTGAGCACCAGCATGCTGGCTCTGGGAGTTTTGTCACATTTTTTTGTTTTATTTGTACTTCTTCCTGACATATAATATACATACAGAAAATATATGTATGTATATTGATGAATTTCACAAACCAACAACACCTGTGCAGCCAGCAATCAACAAAAGAGAGTTGGTTCTCCTGCTCCTGTCCAGGCTGGGCCTGGCTGGAATGTGTGTCCATGTGCAGAAAGTCCCTGTAACAACTGACACTCTTGACAGCTGGGGCCAGGAGGTTGTCTCCATCCTGGTGGGACAGTCCTGTGGAGCGGGCCCGGGCTGTGCCTCCCACATGCTGGCACCTCAGCTGAGTTGGATCCAAGAGCCTGAGGGCAGCCCAGGGCAGAAGATGACCCACTGCCATATGCCTGGTGCCACTTCTTTGGCCAGGCCCCAACACAGAATGCTTTCAAGAATCTATTGTGTGCTCATAAAATGCATACCGCAACAATGCGGACCAGCCTAGAGGGCTTTATGCTGAGCCAAATAAGCCAGACCCAAGGACAAATGTGTGCTCTCACCTATGAGTGGGATCCAAAAAGTCAAACTCATAGAAACACTGGAAAGGTGTTCATGGGGGATTAAGGGAGGAGCAGTGGGGTGATGGTCAGCCCTGCCTTGTGACAAGGACAATTCTAGCTCAGGCACTTCCTCTGCAACCCTGTAGTGCCTGTGAGTGGAGGAGCTTCCCATGGCCTGGGCTTGCCTTGCTCAGCAGCGGGGTTCAGCATGGGAGTTTGGTGGCCCCAGCCCTGCCAACAGGGTGTGAGAGAATGTCACCCAGAGGAAGCACCCCAGAGACACCCAGGTCTCTGCTTCAGTTTTTCTCACCACATTTCCATCTATTTGGAGGAAACTTTCAGTTCACGTTCTAAGTGGATTGCCTTCAAAACTGGCCCTCAGAGACGCTGCTGAAAGTAAGAATGATGCTGCCAGGCTCAGCCTGAGTCCTATGCCGGGCAACTGGTCCCGACACATGGTTCAGCCCCCGCTGTTGATGCAAATAGGAACCCGCAGGAGTGTGGAGGGCCCCAGTGCTTTGTCATCACATCCCCCAAGTCAGTTCCACCACAGAGAAGACACACAGCAGCTCATTCCCAGAGCAGATGCCAGCGTGGCACTTGTGCACTGGCTCTGTCAGAGGTGGGTGCTGGCCATCTGGGCACCCTTTGTGGTGAAAGTGCTTCCTTGATGCTATCCTTTTGGATGTTTTGAAACCATTTTTATTAACACATCAGTCTTCCTAATGAGAAGGCTTCGCTGCTGTGGCCACGTGGCAGGGAGAGCCTCTGCGGAAGGATCCCGCCCCCCACTGCCCCTGCCTTTACTGGCCTTTGTCAGTTTCTCTGCTGACAGCACTCTGGAAGGGACCGGGTCTGCTTGGCTCACGAGCAGGTGGTAGCCAGATGGTGGCTTTGGTGAGACAGCCTTTCCCTCCTGCAATTGGGCCTCTCCACCCTCAGAACCCAGCCCAAGTACAGCCACCTCCCAGCTGGTCCCAGGCTCTGCCCTCTGTCTTGGCATCCAGATTTGGAGAGCAGTGCCAGCTCAAGGTGGAATGAGGCGGCTCAAAGCAGAGGTCACTGTCTCTCTTCGGAGCCCTTGCACCCTCTTGGAGATGGCCTGAGCAAGTGGCTCCATCTGACCTAAAGGACGCACTGGTCCTGCAGCCCCATCTGCCCACAGCCTGCTTCCTGTGTGGTCTTTGCTGTGAGCGCTGCACACCTCTTCTCTAGAGACCTGGAGGTCTGCTCCCTGGTGGTTCTAGAATCCTCTTCTCTGACCTTGGCCCTCTGATTTTCCCCAGAACTCCATCCATGAGGCCCTGCCCAATGTCCCTGCAGTTCTGCCTCTCTGGCTCTTGGCCTTTCAACAAGCACTCTGGCTTGCCCCAGCCACCCACTCACTCCCTTGCCTGCACCTGCAGGAGGCCAGCACAAAGCAGAGGAGGGTGTGGAGTCCAGCCCCGGGGCCCCACCTTCTGTCCTCACCTGGATTCAGACTTCTCCCTCTCCTGCCTCCTGTTGCTGGGTGACAGCAACAACAGCAGCAGTTAGCAAGATTCTGAGATGCACAGTTCCATTCTTTAGTCGAACTCAAAATGGATTGAACCCACTCTTGGTGCACCAGCCAAGGTCAGCAGGGAGGCAGGTTTTCCAGGCAGCTGTAGGGCTGTGGATTTTTGCATGTTACTAGAGACCTGGGATGAGGCCCACCCAGGAGTGTTGGTGTCGTGTAAGGAAGATGCAAGGTTGGATTTCTAATGACAACTTGGCCTTGCTTCAGACATGGCTGAGCCTATCACCATGGGCATGGCCAGCCCCTGAGCAGGGGACAGTCCTCCCGCTCAGGGTCTGGGTGGTAAATTAACTCTGAAAGGGGTCCACAGCCAGCTCATATTGTTTCCTTAATGAAGGACAGGCTGCATCTGCTGAAGGTCATCAGCATTATGTGCCTGTCATTTCTGAGTGAAAACCAAGTGATAATAATACACACACCCAGGGACACACTGGCATGCACCACAGCTACAGCCTGAGCCCCCGTGCTGGCTGCACTGACCCTGGCGGACTGGTTGCAGGCCCTGTTTGCTGCCAGCGGGGGTGGGGGGTGGGGGAAGCAAACGTCACAGTCTGTCCCACATCATTTACTCAGCCCTGTGTCCCCATGCCTCTGCTCACACAGTGCACATGCCACAAGAGGCTCCCTTTACTGGTAGTCACCAGGTGGAAGGCCCAGTTCCGAAGGGTGAGGCAGTAAAACTAGAAGAGTCCCAATAGTCTGGGAGTTCACCCTGCCAGAATGGCCCAGCACAGAGCCATTCCAGAGGAAGCTGACCTTGGGCTGCTCTGGCTAATTAAACATTTGAGGATTCTGTATGAACTGACACACACGAAATGAATATGTTGATAACTCTTTCAAAAACTTAAGCCTTCTTAATACTGCTTGTGCCTAAACCAGAAATTCCCCACTCAAATTCTTACCCTTCCCTTTTTTCTCAACTAAGTTTTTAGGAAAATACTTACAGGCACCAACAAGTATGAATGCCTTGAGGCTGTGTCTCCTGCTCTCCTGCAAGAATCAGGTGTTAAAACCTTAGAGGCCTATTAAAAAGCAAGTATGTCCGGTTGCTTGCCCAGGAATGCCAGATTCCTGGGCTGTTTGTGTGAAAGCAGGTGGCATTTTTCAATTCTCATATTTTTTGTGAGCCTTTTGCAGAAAGTCAAGTCACAGCATGCTCATTTGCCTTTGTTCCCCACAGCCGATCATCCCACAACTTGTGACTGGCATTCCGAGAAACAGTTCTGACTGCGCGCAGCGTTTGTCTGTGGCCTTTGTGAGTCTGAGGCTGTTGGCAGCTGAGCTCCATGTGAGGAGGCTTATTAGGAAATGTAGCCAGCCTTGGAGACAGACTCACTGTGCTAATCACCTTGAAAACCAGAGCCGTCAGTGCTTTACTTTGGAACTGATGAAAATGCTA